TTATTCAAATAATTATCATGTCAAACTCTCTTATTTCATTAATGCATTACACATGTCTGTTTTGAATCAATTGTTTTCACTATGATTAAAATTGCTTTCATTTTTTGATGTTCAACTCTCGACTAAAAAATTCTAAGCCTTTTGAGGGAGGATGACGAAAACGATACCACGATCTTTACAGTATGCTTTTGAACAGACCCCGCTGATGAGGTACAGGCGTTGTTTCAAATCCTAAACAGTGGAGTTATAAGGAAGATAATCCCTAGTCAACCCCTTTGAGCCAAAGAAGTTGGAGTTTTTCTTTTCACAAAAATTAAAACCCTTGATTATAACCTGGGGCAGGGTAGTTCTCTCAGTTGATCCAGGTGCACAATGAATGGCATCAAAGGAGTCCTTCCAAAAACAAAAGACAGTGATGGTTCCCTATAATCGTCAAGACAGGCAGTCATTATCTCTCAAAATAAAAGCCCAATAAGTCAAAACCTATGAAGGAGACTTACAAAACTGGGGCATCCCGCTGACTGTAAATACAAAAGAAACAGTTCAGGCAAAAATCAGGGATGATAAAATCAAAAAGAAAGAGGTCCTACAAACCCTCGACAAAAAAAAAGAGATGACTTCCTATTCAAAATAAATTGTCAGTATTCGAACCATCACTAGAATATCAGAGCGAAGACTCAAACAAGATCTAATGCACGATTAGCTGAGTTTAGGATCGAAGAACATCACGAAGAACGGGTGGGTACAAATAAACTTTGAGCCTTTATCCTTTGTTTCTTAAACCGTGAACCAGGCCACGTTATAACCCTTAAAAGTCCTAGCTGAAGCATGGGTTAGTTCGAAAGCATACTGTTACGAAAGGTATCCTGACTCCTGTAGGGCTTGCTGTAAAATCCTGAGTTGACATCACATTTTACAAAAATTCACTTGTTTTATTGGAAACTGCATTTTCAAAAACTTCAAGACAGACATAAGCTGTGTATTCTTAAAATAACATGGGTTGCATATGACTATTTGTTCAAACAGCAGAGAAATTTGCACGATGAATATCTTGTGAACAAAAACCTTCTCAACAAAAAGAGTCACATCAAGTGGAAAAACACTTCCAATCAAGGGGAAGACATAATCATTGTCCATCATCTGGGGCAGTCAAGTCAAGATTCAAGGAATCTCTCAAGACGCCAAACAGCCAGGGGCAAATCTCCATCTGAGTCACTTGGGGCATTGGACATGAATTCCAGCAACGAATCTTGCATGATCAAACGAAGATCTTCTGGTAGTATGGAAACACAACACTACCGACAGTGACAACTCTCTGCACTCTGAGAACGTGGACATAGTAAAAAAAAAATACTACGCATAATCAAAGACCCGCTAGGTCGACTGGCCTAGGCAAAACTAAGGGCTTCCCGGCGAACCAAAAGGGTTCGGGCAAAAATAAGGGATGAAAATGAAAAAAATCTGTACACCAGGCAAGTCGAAAACCTGAAAAGGAGGCTTGGGCAAAAAAGGGTATCCCGATGGACTGAAAACCCGAAAGGGCGGTCCAGGCAAAAGTTAGGGATCAAAGCGTATGACTATGTCCCGTCATCTCATCACTTGCCTACCAGAAGAAGATTTGTCAATAGGTAGTTATCAAGCACCTCATAGGCCTTCTTCTCCCGCAGAAACTGGGGCAATAAGAATTGCCCGAACTGTGCATACGGCGAGAGTCATTGGTTCAAATCCAATAGTAGGTAAGGCCGAAAGCCCTGCTTTTGCCAGCATGACAGCAAGCACGGACTGGCGGAGTCAACTGAATGACCAAAGCTTCGGTTGCTTCCACTTGTGGCCTTCTTCGACCGCCTTGACACCTTAATCTCAGGGAACCCCCTCTCCTCTCTTCTTCTCTTCATGTATGTATGTGGGCTGCTTGCCCCGTCCCGAATAGACGAACAGGAACAAGCTGAAGAAAGGCGCGAGAGAGAGTTTATACTCAATGCACCTCCCCTCTTCCACAATTAGGTGAAGACCTGGGGGCCAGAAACCCCAACGGGCAACCTTTCACCGCGCCACACGATTCTTTCGCAAAGCGCTCTCTCATACGCACTCCTGCCTCCGCAAGCAAAGAGGTTTCAAAGATACCAGGCGACCAAGTTAAAGTGAACAGCCCCGAGCAAATCTTCTAGAGAGCGTACCCGTTGTAGCCAAACAAAAAAAAAGAAATGAACACCCGCCTGCATAACCTTTCTCCGTTCTGTATAAATGGATTGCGAGTTGAAACTTTGCTTGCCCATGAACAGTACTGGCTCGTCAGCAACTTAGATAGACGAATCTTCTCTTATCCAGCGCCTTCCCACTAATCCATAGAAGAGTCCTGCTTGGAGTGAGAACTGCTTGACGGGTGCGCAACTTACTATTCATATTACATAGATCCTAGCCTTGAACACTGATCCCTATTGCTTGAAGTTCGGTCCCTACTGCCGAGATACGGAAACTCGTTGATGCACTTCCTGCCTATGGAACTACGGGAATTACAGATTAACTCCTCCCGCCTGGACTGCTTAACTTGATTATATTCACTACTCCGCATCAAGAAAGTCTTAAAGACTTCCGGCACAACGCAGGAATAGGAAGACTTCTTTCTACCTAGACCGCGTTCAACCGATTACTTTACTTGATTCCTTATTGGTAGAGGTGTTGACTCTGTGTACATAATTACATTATACCTTGGTTTCTTAGACTGTGGCTTCTCCTTGATTCGGATGGAGCCTTAAATCCCGGTGAGCAGAAGAAGGATTCCATCACCACCCTGCACCTAAAACCAGTACATCAAACTACCCACGGCTAACAACAACCCCGTTCGAAAAGACCTTTTAACTTACAACAACTTCGATTCTTTCTTTTCTTTATAACTTCGCTTTCTCCTGAACCTGCGGGTGGTGCTGACTTGATCCGAGGTAAGCGTTAGCTTTAGCTTTCGACTTGACCTTCCGTCTAACACTCGGGATATTAGAAGAGAAGTGTCGTGGCTCACAACCTTGACTTTGTTTGAGTAGAATTCTTCTAACCCGAATTCCCTTATAGTCTCCGGACGGGATTACTTTTGCTTTGCTTCCTTAGGATCTCATTCCTTTACCCCGGACCTATGATTTGAACTCGAGTACAAAAGAAAAGCCTATTGAAATTTATCATTTCGTTCCAGGATCCGCAGCAGTTGTTGCTTGCTTCCTGAGCCTATACCTGGTGAACTCCCTGGGGCTGATAAGAAAGCTTAGAATTCGATAAAAACATGTCCTTCGAGGGCACAAATAACTAAAGTACTGGCTCGCGAACTGCCATAATTCGGGTTTCCCTAGTGGATTCACCAGTCTTGCAGACTCCCTTCAGCTTACTTACGATCGAAATCACTATTTTGCTTTTTGAGCTATACGAAAGAACTAGATCACGATCTCGCGGGACTAATCTCTTGAAAACTTAAAGAAAGGGAAAGCCAATCGTACGTCCTGGTTTCCGGGACTTTATTCCCACAGGTTATTCTATACAATTTATGAAAGAGAGGAGAAGCCCCACTCGGGGAGATGAGTCAAAGCTTTCTCTTATATACGATACCTACCAAAGAGAAGAGATCGCATTCTGACAGGGAGCACACGAAGCAAAGGAAAGACTGGCCTGCATAGTCTTAGATAGAGGTATTACCAGGCACACCTCTCCTAGTGTTCTTGTTGCCTTCAACCCAGAAGGGAATGAGCAGCTAGCTAACTCGAACTAACCATCATTTGGATCCTCAAAAGCATGGCTTGCTTTAATTCTCCGCAGAGAAAGAAAGAGATCAAAAGCAATGAAACCTACGATGTATCCTCAATCTTCCTTGGTAACGGATTAAAATTCACATCGGGTTCTCCTGTCAACTTTGCGAAGTCAAGCTCGTAGACTCTCCTTTAGCCTGTATGTAGGCTGATCTCCATATGGATGCGCGAGTGAAGGAATGACGGGACTCCTCCTCTTTCCCAGGGACTTTCTTCCTCTATCAAAAGGGGATAAAGAAGACATGGGCTACCGCTAAACCTTTCCTCAACTTCAACTGTTTGGGACGCTCCGGCACCTCCAATGCGAGAAGTGCGCTATTTCCCCAATCCAAATTGTCAAAACTCACGTCATCGTAATAAGAATAGTTGCTTGGTACCTTTTTTCTTCAGTCAAATCCGAAGCAGCTCTTCCGGAGCTGCTACTGAAAGAAGAAATCTGCCCTCGTCCTTTAACCCGGACTCCTTTCTTCCTCTAGAAGTACCAAGGGATCCAGACTAGGAGCAATCCCTGATTGTCAAATTTTATATCGAAAGATCAGGTTAGGGATCATCATCTGGTCTATCGCTCCTTTTGAGAGTTACATAAGCCTTTCCCCTGCAGTGAAGTTTATTCCCGACCCTTATTCCACTATCTCATCCTTGCCAATCTTTCGAATGTTCACGCGTACCCGGGCTGATAGAAAAGGAAAATCTTCCATTAGGAGATGTTGGTCTTATAGAAGTAACCGGTGTTTTTAGCCGTAACCCCTGTTACCACGTAGGAAGGAGTTCTTAAAGAAGGCCGCTAAATCAGCAATAGAGGACAACTCCAGATCTATGAATAGCCAACTAAGAGCCTAGCTTGATTACTGGAACTAAACAGCAAGCTGCTCCTACCTTACTTCTCGAAAAGGAGTACCGGGACTGAGTAGACTTCTTGTAGTTCTCTTTTCCCTATAGAACTACATTAATGTATTGGGTATTTTTATAACCTTGCCAAGAGTGCTTTGAGCTTTTCTTTCTTAAACCCGGTCATATCCTCACCCTTCGGTCGAATCCAGCTTATGACATGGCTAGAATGTTAGACCGATGTCTTAGGGTCATTCTCAGTAGCCATACAGAATCGGAACCTATGCCTTCTAGCTGCCCTACGGATGAGCCCAAAAGAATATAATTATAATCTGGAAGTGACTTCGATAATACCTTTCCAAGACTCACTCGCTTCTTGAAGCCATGCTCTTACTAAACCTAAACCACAAAGACGAGATAATCTCTATCTTATCCTTCCTGGGAGGAGACAGAGTCAAATCAATTGACAACAAAAGGAGTCACTCGTGGCACACTGACTATATTCCAACTTCTCTGCATCAATGCACTCACTACCTTCTAGCAAAGGTAAGATATTACTTATTCGATAGAGTAAGGAAAGCAAGTCAAGCAGTCTTTTCAAGAAGAAAGTAACACCGTTACCACTATTCTAACAGCTACCAATTCTCATCCGAGGAGAACGGAACGACCTTTAGAGTAGACCTAACTGCTGCGGTTACGCCTCCAACAGATGAAATCGCACCGTCGTCTTCCCAGTGTAGAGCAAAGCAAACAAGTCAGCCTGAGTTCCATAAGTATCTTTAGTAGCAAAAAGGCTAATCGGTAATAAGCCTTCAGTCGACCATCGGGAGATACGCCTCCAGGCCAAACAGATAAGGGAAGCGAGAACATGATCTTCTTCCTACGCCCTTACTTTTTTGAATGGAAGAAGGGGTGGGCAGACAGAACGGTCATACTTAGATGAGTTATTAACCCGCACCCGGTTCTAGAACCAGATCTCCTGGATTAGCCAGTACCACGGGAAGGGACAAGAACGGACACAGACCTTCACGCACGGGCCAAGTCACAGAAAGAAGAAAGAGCCTCGACAAGAGGCAAAGCCAAAGAAAGAGGTTTTTATTCCTAATAGGCCAATAGAACAGGCGCCGAAAGCAACTGGAGTTGAAAGAAGGGGCAATAGCCTTGATTATCTATTCTATCCCGCAAGGCCGAGATTAGTGATTCTCGTCGCTAAGCGAAGACTCTATCATAATCATAACAGAGTAGCGTACCAAACCAAAGGGCAGTCCCTTCGGATCAAAGGAAGGGGTCAGACTAGCAACGGACGAAGCGGGTGAAGAGCTTAGGTATAGAAAGGGGCAAAGAGGCGGCTAGGAGCCGAATGGCCACTTGACTATCTACTACTAGAATAGAATAATGAGTGTGATAGCGCCAGAAGAGAAGCTATCAGCAACTGTCACACCTGAATGAGCTGATCGGGTAAGCACGGAGAAAGCTTGCATTGAAAAGAAAGGGGAATCCATCAAGGTTTTTGGCTCGCAATAAAGCTAGGGTGGGAAATGAAGAATTATGGAATTCAAAATAAGGAGATGAGAAGCACTTTTTTTGCATCAAAGACTCTTTAACAAGCCATTGCTGTTAACCCTGCCATTCCTACCTATTAGGCGCACTTCCTCCATTCATATTAGGATCACGGATCCATACATACCCCGTTTTTCATTCTAGATTATTCTAATTATATATATAAGGTATCGCTCGGGCTTCTAGCCCATCGCTCAAGTAGAAGACCAAGCACTCCTACTCGTACGAGAGGTTGAATTGATGACCGGTAACGATCAAGTTGGTATGCCTGTTATTTCCGTAGTATAAAAGTGCTCACACCCTAGCCGGTATTCTCTTCTAGACGTAGGTCCACTTCTCGTTCACCACAAACATGTCGAAATTCCACAATCGGGGGAATGAATCAGCGCTTCCCGATACGGCATGCAACTAGCTGGCTGAACCGATATATCTTACTAAGATATTTAAACCGTCGATTCAGGTGGAGAGAGAGTGGAATCCTTGGCTGGTATTTGATCGCTAGTTGGTTCGGATAAATAGATTGCTTTGGTTCGGCTTGGAACCTCGACGTGCTACCTACTAATGGTCTCGAATAAAGGTTCTTAGCTGCCGTTGCTTGGGCGCTAGGGATTGGTCCTGATGGCAAGGATTCACTTGATTGCTTTGAGCTCCCTGGGAATGGAAATGCAGATGCAGAGGCTGCCTCCCAAGCATTTTATCCTGGAACAGAAGACATTAGATCCAGCTTTGGGCTCAGTACCTCCATTAGGTCACTGACTCCCATTTCCGTTGATTGGACAACCGGCCTTAACGGCGCTCCCTTAGCTTCTCTCGTTGGGAAGCATTTGAGGGCTGGAGCTTTCATTTGGGTGACCAGTAGATAGATACCGGGGTTCTCCCCTCCTTTCTTTGCCAGGAGAGAGGAAAGACTTGGGTTGGGATCCTGGTGTTGCTATCGGGTCATATGGAGAATGATGGTGATTCCATGCTTTCGGGCTAGGCATTGGAATGGGATCGGGCGGGCCCGGTGAAAGAGATGGAATGGGAAATGGAGATGTTGAAGAGGCGGGTTGATTAGTTCTGGTTGGAGGGCTACGAACTCCTTCTCATTGTTCCGCTCCTCTTCTCTTCTTTAATGGTTGACCAGGCACTGAAGGTCGATCATCTGTGTTCACCTGGTATGGATATAATTGAAGAGTGGAGGTGAAGGGCTCCTGTCATCCGGCAATGCAAGACCCACTCCAGATCGATGCCTCTTGGTCAGACCATTTCCGTATACTGAGATTGACGACATAGCGAGAACACCGAGATCATTCCGTAAGAGGTTATTGCAGTGCTTATTGAATTGTCAACAATCCTCTCTTCACATCTGCTAGAAAGAATTATTAGGGCTTTGGAGAGTGAATAGCTATTCTTTTTCTCAAATCTCGATTTCTGCCTTCTTTGGGAAGATAAGAGACTTTGCTGCTCTCCCACCTTCAACTAAGGTAGTCGCTTAGCTAACTAAAAAAGCATCCTCTAACGAGCACACCACTGTTTATTTAGATACCCTCAAAGCAAAGGTGAGGAATAGGGCTAGCTAACAAGTAAACGAGAGACGTAAGTGAACGAAGTTGGCATCTTCGAGCTAAGCAAGCAAATAAACTACTTATCTTTGTTGCGAAGTGAGCCAGGTAAGCAAGGAAGTAATAGAAAGACTCTCAAGTGTTCTCATATTCTCCTATTTGACTCCCACTTGGGATTCACAAATAAAGGATAGATAAAGGAAACTTCAAGGGGCTTCTAATCTATTCTTTCTTGCCCCCCATTCCCTTAAGTGGGATATACCCTGTACAAGCTCGGAATTTGAACTGAAAGGGATTGCTCCTGAGACAATTGTCATTTCCTTTTGATTTGGCACAAACACATTGGTCCAGCAGTTACTTTGTTCCACGGCTGAAGCGTTCGGTTCATTAGATACTGAGACTTTTTTCCTTATAATTCTAAGTGGAATTAAATTTCCAGCTATCCTTCCATCCGCCCTTTATCAAGCTACAAGCCAGAACAAAAAAAAACGGTCCTCATATGGATGAGGAAGTCGAAAGACTGAGAACCTTTCGTAACAACTTCCCTTCCCGAAGAATAGAATCTCAATCTCTCTGAAGCCCGCTTGACTGCCCGGCCTTCCCCAAGGATACTTCCTTGAACAGCCTCACCTCCCATCACAGAGCAGGCTTCGAAATCTTCCATATGTCTCTTGGAACACCACAGCTATCCAGGAATGAATGATAGAAGGGAATGTCAGGTAGGCTTGCGAAGTTATGAGAAAGATATTTATCCTCCTAGAGGGGGAAACATTGACTTACATGAGGAAGTGAGGGGACTCATATATGGATTAACAACTCATGCATTCCTGCTCAAGGAAGGGAACCATTTCCATCTATATAAGTATTTGCAATGGAAGGAGAAGGGGGTTGCTAAGGTCCATTCCCGCTGTCATTCCTCTGTCTGGTATAGAGGTTCAGTTAAAGCTTCGGGTGGGAAAGAGATTCGCTCGTTGTCGTGTATCCCATTGCTCTTATTACAGTGGTTGACAGTGGCTTATGTAAGTGTTGCCCCTGGGCTCCGGTGAGAGCCTTAATTTAATGGTTTTTCATCACCCTCTTCAAGACAGGTGCCAGATTCATGGAGGACGACACATTAGGGGATAAGCACGGAGGAATCTAAAAATGTGAGTAGGAGATTCTAGTTCACAGCAAGATGCGGGCACTCCCATTAGTCCCATAGCAAGCAAGAAGCGGTCAGGATGCAGAGACGGAGAGTCAGGGAAGTTCCTCCTATCTATAGGTAGGAGCGTAACGTCTAATAGTTTCCTGTAGTTGCTCTAGACTCCTCTCTTTCTCCTATCTATCAGACTATCTTCTTTTTTGTATTATTTTATTGTCTTATCTTGTGACATAGTCTTGTCTCTAGGTGAATATCACTATGGGAATGCGTTAGGATCCATTCTCTGTCTCCCTCTCTTTCTTTCCTTTCTAGTAGCAAACTTTATTCTGTGGCTTTCCTTCCGTTCCGCGAGAGTAGGGCACCAAAAGCTGTCCTATCATTTATTGGAGTGGAAGGCCTTCCCATCCTCATTCCGAAACAAAGAGAGTAAGGCCACTTGTGACCTATCTTCTTGGTCCAACCCCTACTTTAAGAGGAAAGCACAAATCCCCTTTTTTTTCGTTTAGCCGATATCTCTTGAAGTATTTGTTTTGAAAAGCCTGCGGTAAGCCACTCTTCCTTATTTTGCTGCCTAGTTTCAAGCTTCTTAGATCTACCTCGCTTCATTCCCTGTCGGAATGGTGACTGGGAAGGGAAGCACAGCAATAACGCCTTTTTCCTTTTTTCTCCCGATTAGACGAAAGGCATGTTGGGGCTGTATCCGAAACATTTTTGAACTGCCGGCCCGACAACCAAGCCTATAACCGGCAATCAGAGGTCAAGTTGAGACATACAAAGGCGCCAGTGAAGAGCTTAAAATCAGTACAAGGGCTGCTATTGAAGGGATGAAATCTCCCAATCATGGACTGCTTAGGTCCCTTCTAGTCCGTCCTGTATTTTAGTATGATCGACGGACGTATTGTATTTTACCTATACGGGCATATGTTCGACTTCCTGATCAAGGGCATCCGTCCACAAATTCTTTTATGTAAATATAGATATTCCCGACTTTTCATACCATGGGAAATCCACTCGGACGAAGACATAGATGATAGGATTATTTGAGAGAAGAGCCGTGCCCTACCTATTCTACAAAACCTTATCCTAGTTTTTACTTTATTTTTTTATATATAAGCATTCATCAACGGATTCTGCTTCCACTGCCTTAGTGCTAATTACAAACTAATTATCCTCATCCCAAAACCCCTTACAAAGAAAGGTAGGTGTGCAATAAGAGAAAGCTTACCTTGCCCCGAGAGAGACCATAGGATAAAGTCAGCGTGCAAGAGCTAGAGAATCCCGGGGTATAGTGAGAGACCTGGTGCAAGCTTTTAGAGTATGGCTATCAGTCCCAAGTTTAAGCTAATCACTCGTAAGGTTATGTAGTCCGCCTATAGCCCAGCCTTTAAGCATCAACAGAAGATCCAGCGGGATAGTCGTTCTCTGTATCCAAATGCTAGAGTAGGAGAGGAGTAAGCTAACCTTATCCAACCTTTGTATCCGTAAATCCCTATATAGCCTACCAGCGTTGTACCCTTTTGCGAGCAAGTCAGCCTCTATTTATTAAACCCTTTCTAGAGTCACCAGCTAATCCTAAAATCCCTGGTGCGTAAGCAAGCTACCCTTTAGTAGTCAGCAACCCTCCTAAGCCTTGTTTTTAGGAGTAACCTGGGATCTTTTTAAGCTCGTTATAGGAAGACGCGCTATATGACTAATCTATCCTAGTAGACATTATACTAGGAAGCTCCTGAGTCAACCTCTAATCTATAAGCCAGTCAGCGGGATAGATGAATATGAACTTCTCTAAGAGAACAGTTCAACGGGTTTATTGGAATTCCGTTATCTGATCAGATTAGATATTCTCTAAGACTGTATAAGAGAGACCTAACTAACTGGATTGCTAGCAGTGATCATACCCGATGATGTGAACCCGATTGAATCAGCTCTTGTGATCATATCCCATGCTATCAATGGGAGTGAAGTCCGCCTATCCATCAACATAAAAGTGAAAGGAGCCCGCTAACTACTGCACTTCCTAATGTGATATTGAGTTTTGCCTAAACTTGCCCGCCCATACTCTTAACTTTTCGCTGAAGCTCTCAGACTAGAGCTATTCTCACTAAACCTAAAATTCTAATATACCCCTCTCTCCTCTCTCCTCAATGGCTAAATACCAAAGCTAACCTTAAATGGGTTAAAGACCGAGCCAGAACAGGAGCTTAGCCTCAATCTTAGATAGGAGAGTCCCCATAACAACTCAACTACGTCGAGCCTTGCCTTGAACAAGCCAATCAACCTCAATCCTAGGAAATGATTTCAGGTGAAGCTCACCCCTCTTGTTCTCATCTTAAGGGAAGGCCCAGGCGCAGAAGGAAGACTCTTTGATCGGGTAGTTCCTGTTCTCAGTCATCTTAGGTGCGGTTGGCCAATTAATTACTTAAATTTATAGCGCGAGCCCCACTCATACAAGTAGGGGAAAACTCTAGTTCAACTGTTTTTTTATTCAGATTCATAATTGGCCGGGGCCTTAACCGTAGCTTTAGGGCCAAAAGCCTATCTATGGCCTTTTGGCTGGGGGTAGCTATGGCAAGGGTAGTTTAGTCGGAAAAAGGAGGGGAAGCCCCGACTTTCCAATAAGGCCCGGGGGAATGAAAACACTCAACCGATGGGGGGAGGAATGAACAGCAGCTCTAGGGGATAAATGTGGATATCCAGTGGCAACTGAGCAGGAGCAGCTCTACCCGCACATAGCTAAATATCCCCCTTCCACGCCACCCATTTGGTGAGCTCCGCCCTTAAGGGAGCCCATCCGTCGGTCGGCCAATATTGGATAGTCAACTAGCGCACAGGGTAACTCGAATATCAAATATAAGAATAGCAGCCCCGGTCTCAAAAACAAGCATGGAAACAACAGTCAATCAGAAAGATAAGTTGAAGTTAGCTTTCAGCTGTTCAACCACTAAAGACTAAAGTGGGTGAAGCATAGTTTCGTCCGTCCCTCTCGCTTTCAGCGCGGGATAGAGTTATCAGTACGTGCGACACCAACTCTTTCGTTTTCACTTATTTTTTATACATATATAGATCTATTCCTACCATATTTCGTTACTTTATCCCGAAAAAGGGGAGCTGCTGGGCTCCTTCCTGTTTTATTAGCATCAAACCCACTCAACAGGATATTCCATAAGCACTCCGGAAGGTATAGTGTGAAGGAAAGTAGGTCCCTTACATGAGAGTTTGCGAACACGGGGGGCTTATGCTCCTGCTGCTCATATGGAACAGGTTGGCCCCCAAAAAGCCCCAAGGGAACGAGCGAAAGGGCTGCTTGCCGGAACAGCAGATCGAGCAGCCTATTATTTATTACATTTCTGCCCCAACTATTCCAAAAAGGGTAACAAATGGGTCTAATTCTGAGACAAAAGTAATTTAACATCCCTGATTCGGAAACTGCTGCAGTGGGAACTCTACTTGCCATTCCTCCTTCCGAAGTGAAAGTTTTCATTCTCCCCTTGGCCCAGTTGAAAAGCCTAACCCCAGGTGAAGTACCAGATTATGAAGTTAAAGTAAGGAATTGCCCTGTCTGATTCGTAAAGCTTTCGGAGAAGGAGGGGAGATCCGCGGAGGTAGAATTCTGAATACGGGTACGAAGGGTCATCCAGAAGCGCTGGAAGGGGGGCTGGAGGAAGGGGACGAACCGCATCGATTGAGTTATATCCGGCAGGCTAACACCCACGTACCTAGAAAGGAAGGGGAAAGTCTTACCTTTTGGAAACATAAGGCGCATCAGAAAGGAATCCGGATATATTTAGATAGCCAGATTCACGAGCTGAGGACTAACTAAGTCGAAGTGAAAGTCTGTGCCATTGTTAGTGCCAAGACCTTAGAATAGTGAACACCAAGTGAAGAGCCACCCTCCGGGAACGTCGAGAAGGGGGACGAACAGCTTTGATTGGATCCGATCTGGTAGACAGAGACGAAGACAAGGATGAATAATCTGAAGAAGGCTATGCCGAATCTGAGGGAAGAAGAAGAAGCAGAACTCGCCAAGAGTTTGAGATCAGATTGAACAATTGTCAGATTTTCATCATATCAAATGCTCTTTCAGTCTGCAGAAACTTGGGAGGGGTCACAATAGAATAAAGTATTCTCACACTTAATCGCTTTGCCAACGGTATGACCCGTGACAAAGTGAATAAAAGAAGGATAGATATAATTGAACTAATGTGTCCGCCTTATCATCCTTCCTCATTATCACCTTACGGTGAAATGAAGGAATGATCCTAGGTAGACCATTCCGACTGAGGGAGACGAAAACTGGTAGTCTCTCATGCTCGTAAGGCGGCCCGGCGTAAACCTGTTGAAGGCAAACGCCACACTGCTTTAAATAAAGTGCAGTAGATAAAGGACCGGACTTACGGTATAATTGACGTACCTGTTTCGCAAACAAGTGCGCAGCTATACAGTTATCCTTTGAAAGGCCATCAGTGACCTTTCAGAAAGATTCCGGGTTTATTCCACTGAAACTAGCTGGCAATATCTTATAAGTGCTATTCTCTCTCAGCTTCAAAAGGGCTTCCCCGAGGAGAGTACGGGGCATCTCTATGGTTCCAATATGGTATCGCAGAGTTCGTCGATCTTCTTCTGACTAGTGCCGTGCTGTCAAACATAAATATAATACAATATCGGGAATCTCTTTGACCTTCAACGTGTCTAGGGTAGGGACCTATCTTCTTCGTAGTGGGCCCTTATCTCTCTTAGAATGAGCCCCGGAACTGCTTGTTATACATACCGCCAGCTGTCTTTCCCGGCGCTTCTGCTTTCTGCCATAGAGGTGTGAGGTTAAGAATGATCGAAATAAGACACGATAGAAGGTGGGTGACTAAATGGGAGCATTTCCTTTCTTGCCCAGTAAGCCCCTATCGTGGTTTTCGATTGTCGATTGCTTTTGTACTTTGACCCTTGGCTAGTTCACTGAGCTATATCGAGGACTTAGCGTTCGACTGTTGCCAACTCGGGGGTTGAACCAGAGAACTTATGTTCTGAGTGAGAGGTGGAAAACATTAAAAAATCCATAGGCCAACGAGCGAAGGAAATAGCTCAGGAAAGGGGATTAACCCCAGGACGCTGCGAGGCGGTGGAAGATGCGGCAAACTACATTGCCGAAGATGTGGAAGATCTAGCAGAAAATCAACAAGTAAGCTTCCTAGTCAACTTAATGCGAGACCTTAATAATCCCAACAGCGAGTCGTGGGAGCGCATCAAAGAGGAGGTGAAAAAATGGCGCTCATGGGAGGATTAGGGTCGACCAACAAACAGGGAAGGACCACGTACCTGGTTCGGCAAAGAAATAAAGTATCACACATCCTCTTGTTCCCAAGAGTCCCATGTTATTCTCTTATGCTTCTGATGGATCTAGCAAAGACGGATCCACCTCTTATAGGGATCTGGTCACTCATTTGGATTGAGATTCATCCAAGTCTACCATAACGGCTGCTAAATCCCTCCCTATTTAACTTTGACTCTTTTCAGGGCGTGAAAAAGACCGGCTCTCTAGTTCTGTCATGGAAGGGGGCAAGGTGCTGACCGATGTCGATTAGGAAGCTGCTCCTGTTGTAAAGAAGTGAGGCAGCGAAGAAGAAGCATTTTAGCATTCACCTGTCCGTCCTTCTTTATGGAATGCTCAAGCCTAGTGAGAACTCAAGTCGATTCGAATGACTGGATCCGCTGGAACTAAGGCTATTTCCAATGCCCGAAAGGAAGGTGCTTAAGCTGAAAGAGTGGTCAGTGAGGCTCAATTCTTTGTATTGATTCCAAGACCCAGGGCATAAGGAATTCACTAAGTATAATAATATTATCCTTTTGATTCAATAGAAGGGGATGCCCCCAATGTGGTAATAGCCGGTAGAGACCTACGTTATTCACAATAGGTAAACTTGCTAGAATGATGTTTAATAAACTTCTTTATATAGGTAACTGGAAAGCTCTATCCCCTCAGTTGGCTTAAAAAGCTATTTATCCTTATTCAACTCGGTAAATTGAAAGAAGTCCCAACCACGAGGCTTTGCCGCGAGAGTTTCGACATTAGTGATTTGCTCTGAATCAGGCCCCTAAACCAAGGCAAATAGCCCATAATACATATGAATCCGACAGATCGGACCGAACTGCCAATGAAATCCATTTAGCCAGTTAAGCTAAGAAGAAAGAAATAGATCAGAAATCGAGTTTGAAGGCCCGAGAGTACGGGAACGGGTCCGGTAGGGAAGGTGCGAGATGATGAATGAAAGGGTCTGCCTCAACAGATGAATCCGTGACTGCTGCGACTGAGGAAGGAATCGATGAAGTCATTGCCAGCCGTCTTGTATCCTGGCAGAAGATCCCCCAAAAAGCAAGCAGCATTTCTTTCCTCGGTAAGGCCCGGGGGATGCCTCCTACCTTCCTTCTCGCAGTCAGCTATGCAACTCAGAAAGGTTCGAGCTACTCTTTACAGCTTCTTGTGGTTGACGCTAAAAGCTCCTTGTGACAACTCTTCTTGTTCGCTCCTACGCGTATGCCGAGTTCCATCTTTGGAAAAATTTAACTCGTTGCCAGAGAGAAAACATCACAAAATTAACCGACCCCACACATGGTCAATAGTCAAGATCTATTATTAAAATAGTTGTCGAGGGAAGGAAGTCGAAAATCAACAGCTCAGAAAGCTTTCCCTTGACAAACCCGCACTTTGACAGCAAAAACCGCCCGCTACTCACAGAGAACAGAGATAAGAAGGATACTAGGGCTCGCTCGCGCTTAGATTTTTTAACATGTATGCGGGCCCCTTTAACTTGACTATTTAGGTTACTTAGGCCCACTACGAACGAAAGACCAATGACACACCGGGACTTTATTAATAGAGAAAGAACCGAACCGGGGCGATAACGACCCAGGAAATGGTGAAGTACAGGAATCGACTCCCTCTTCGAGTAATTTAACATAAAAGAAATAAGAAGGGACTGACTTCTTTCTTGACAAGGATCCTGAAAAAATAGCACATGCTCCAAGGACTTCACGGAATTAGGAGGCACACTGGTAGGTATACCAAGATAAATGTGGGTAAGCGACGAGGGAAATAACCCCTCCATAAAAGCATGCATTTCCAGACAATAATATTTTTTGTGGAGGAATTGTCCACATGATGAACCAAACGGAGCGGGCAGAGTTAAGTTACCATTTTAAGAGTAGATGTCCCGGCTGGTAAGGGAAATGAATGAAAGAAGCTTCTCCAATAGGATGCATGTGTTGAGCATTTGTTTCATTCCTTTGGCAGCTGAAGTTCCAGTTCCATTTCTAGTTCTGGTTATGGTTCGAGTGGAGAAGCTGAGTGGGCATACCTTCCCTAAGTTGGTTAGATCGCCCGAACGAAGGAAGCTGTCTTGTCTTGCAATGGCAGAAGAAAGATATATCATTGCCAATCGGGAGGAAAGGAAGAGTCATTTACCTCCTTCTCCCTATCGATGTTTGACCCGATTTTGCTCCCCCTCCCCGGGCCTTAGCAGCCCACCCCATAAACCGCTTCCCTCGACTGCCTTAAGAGAAGAGAAGAGGAGGGGATTTCGAAGAATGGAATGAAAATTCCTAAAGGTAGTTTACTTGCTTACTTGTTAGAGTCAGGAATCTTTGTAAATTTTTTCCGCAGGAAAATGGCTCCAAAGGACCTGTGCCTCTATCCTGACGAGGTTATCGTCACCGATGGTAGTCGCGAGTTCGCGGAGTACACAACCTTAAGGTAAGGTCGTGGGTCCGACAATGGCTTAACTGCGTCAAGTGGTACTACATGGTTGCAGTATCTCCAGGCGTAACCATCCAGGATCTCTTAGACGCACCATTCGTGAACCGGAAATGGCAGGTTGAATCGACCGACTCTCAGTTGGTCCGGTTCGGCCTTGTCTGGAAGGTTTTTTATTTTGTTGCCCTAAGGCGTTTGGCCTGTTAAGCCAATGTCCTAGTCGCTGCAGCGATTACGGATACCTCTAAGGCATCTTTACTCTGCGAGTCCCGCAGCTTTCTTTATGTTTTATGAGTTGACTCCTTATGCTAGAGCCAACCTGGCCTACCGGTCTTGTAAACCGATAGTTCCTTTAGGTTTTACACCTGAGGGTGCCCTCCTTTGGGGTCCATACATAAAGGACCTCATCAGGGTGTTGATAAAACTAGCTAAACCGGTTTCAGTGAGGTCAATCAAATGGAGAGGTACGAAGAGGACTTTTCGGTCCTCTCCTTACTGTCGAGTTACTACGTTCCTTGCCTTTTGAACTTAATTCATGGTACCGAAAGGTAACAGAAGGAAGTAAAATACCCTCATTATTAGGTGTACTGTGGTACCCAAGAGTTAGGTATTGTTTCGACGAAAACAACGAGTTGTTTAGTCGAATGGATATGGCCTCATTTGAAAAGGAGGTCATTCCCAACGATCCTACTCTTGTCAGAGTCCTTACCTCGGACGACTGGGTCAGTCGGTTGAAGGAGCGGGGAAGAGACGAATATTTGCCATAGGAAACTGGCTGAATCAGAGGTTATTAAACTCTGTTCATAGATGGCTGATGGATGTTATACGTCAGATTACTATGGGTGGCATGCATGGATGTCTTTTCTGCCTTAGCCATTCTCCCTACGTAGCAACTTTAAGTAGATGATAGATGGGATGAGATGCTAGCCTTAGCGCAGAAGATTCATCATGGAGCCTTAGGTTAGGCTACTACTAAAGATAGGATGGATTGTCAGGAATGGTAGATGGAGCAAGGAAAAGCATCCAACCAATCCTGTTAGGCTGTTTTGGAAAGCCAGCGGCAAGGAAGGAAAGGAAGCGAAGTAAGCATCCAATCCTGATCTTTTCACTTTCGAGATCGAAGAATCATAGCTATCAGTGCATTAGCAAAGCAGACCCAGAAAGGGAGAGTTCTTCTTTTGCAAGAATGGGTATTACCGCAGCTTTGACTCTGTTGCAGGTATGAAGTGCCATGAAAAATGGAAATGGCTATCAGTTCTGACTCTCCTGACCCGAGGTAAGTAGTTCGGCTAAGCCGGAAGAAATAAATGTGAGAGTTTAGCCTATTAATTCACTTGAGTTTAGGGAAGCCGGTTAAATGCTTTGCTTTGTGAGGGAAAAGCGGGCACAGCTCACGCACGGCACAAGAGGCAAGGAACTTTCAACAGGCATGGACGGCCTCCTTTTGAGGGTGAATGTCGGAAATCGTCTTCCCTTTGATGGACATTAAAAAGGATCCGCTAGGCTGTCTTACATGTCCCCAAAAGCTAAAGGGCTCCTTTCCTTCTTGATATCGCTGATGCGCCTTTAAGAGTTCTCGTTCTACTTCCTGTTAGCTGGTAGAGTATGAACTACGACCGATGGGATTGGTACAACCACGAATCTTTTGTTTGCTTTGTTTACAGCCGGCCTTACTGAAATAGGAGTTTATGCTTCTAGCTAGCTTGCTTTGAGCATCGGGAAAGAAAAGATAAGGCAATTTAGTTCTCATCCGCCCTTGCCTGCGAGCTTAGGAGCAGCTTCACCTTGCGTCTGCTAACCGCTGCTAAAAAGCCAGTGACCGGTAATCCGATGCTACCACCAGACTAGCCGGTATACTAGAGAATTAAGTTCACTGAACCCGCTGCCAAAGAAAAGTAAGCCTAAACCTCTCAACCCCCCGAGTCCGGGGCAAAGGTTACGTTCCCTAGGTTCCCCTCTTTCCCCCTGACTTCATGTTTTTCTGTCTTCTTTTGTGGATTCCAACTGAATTGTCATCTTTCCCGCCTTCCGCGCGGTTTCTTGGCTCAAGATATTATGATTCCCCTAGTAGTCTGACTGCTCTTTCTCTCAAGCGAAGTGCTTCTCGGGACAAAGGGCAAAAGGGAAGGTAGCTCGTGATTATCGTCTCGGTCTTCTCGAAAGGTAGTTGAGTTCCTTCGGGTGAGAAATAATAGGAATTGATCTAGCTATAGATATAGATAGAGTGTCAGATGAAAGGTTTCTCCCCTGACTCCTTGACTTATTGATGTTGTTGATCCGCCGTTATCGTATCAGGAAATGTGGGGCCGGGCCGCTCTTTCTGACATAGGAACTTACTCAAAATCTAAAGTCCGCCTAAGGGAGAGAGAAGACTATAAACAATAAATCTAGGAGGTTTGAAGATGCTCGAGCAAAGCGAAGAGGTTTTACCTAGCATTAGAAACTTAATCCATTGTTGCTTGTTGCTTGTTATCCCTTGCTTTTAGTTAGGTATAACTCCTCTGTTATCTCCTTGTTCTAACCCTGTTGCTTCCTTTGCTTCGCCTGGAACTACCTTGCTAACACCTTCTTACAGTCTTGCTGAGCTTAGGAAGTGAAGTTGTAGGGATGAAAAGCCTATATTTAACTTACAAACAAAGGCTGAAAGCTGGTGTTTGCCAGTCACAAGAGAGCATTAGTGCTTCCCGTTAGTCTTACGAGGAGGAGAAGCACGTAATGGGAACGATATTGGAGCTAAAGGTTGGTACATTGCACGCATTAAAACCTTAACTCTTATAACCTGTCTTTCCTTGTTATCCCTTGCTTTTAGCTCGGTATAACCCCTCTTCCTCTTGCATTTGCTTGTAATTCCTTGTTTCCCTCGTTCTTGTTTCTATCGTAGGTTCGGTAGTAGGTTCCAGCTTGCACATGCAGGATCCCCCCTTCGTCTTTATTTTCTCCCGGCTATAGCGCGAGAGAAACGCGAACAGCTGATTCTCAAGCAGGGGATTTGTCGAAAACAACCTATCTGTCTACTTGCTTTCAGTTCTGTTCCCGTCTCGATCTTACCTTAAAGCTCTCAACCTATTCTTGCGCAAACCAAGTTCACTGCCTTAATTTAGGAGTGAAATAACCCGCTATGAGTAGAAGGGACTTTGCCGGGTATTCCTTCTTCTTGATAGCGCAGGGGCACAGCGGTAAATACCGAGGAAAGAAGATAATTAAATTTTATCCCACGCCACGGTAGATAGTGTTCTGTGGGGGAAGGAACCCAGGCATAGGCGTATCCTCCTTGGAAGTTTGAATGCCCTAAGATGGTCGTTCGACAAGCCCGCCCTTTGCTAAAGCTTCTATGGATTGCACCTTTAGAAAGGAAATCAGCATTTAGGACAATTTTCCCAACCAAGGAAAAATGGCACATTTCGATGTCTCGTAGGAAAGGAAATCCGATCTATGAAAAAATTAGCTAAAGAAAAGTGTCGATTTAACTTTTTAGGAGTAAGTAAAAAAGGTCCCTCGAATGGAATAATAGCTTTTCCGGAGGAAGTAACTTATTATATTATAATAGTTGATAGTTTATGTAAGAGAAGAAGTTCTTGGTTTGGTTGAATTCAATCAAAAAAAGTACCATTTTCAATTGAATCCTGAATCCCTTATTCTATAAATTTACTAAGAGAAGAAATCACGTAAGTGATAGAAAGAATCGTTCAGTAGGCTAATCTTGAAAGGTTTCCATTTTCGATTGAGAAAGCGGCAGGCCCAAAGAGCTCTCCAATAAGTGCACCGAAAGGGGGCCGGAGAGACGGTCAACCTGAGATCGGCTAAGATCGAAAAGCACTTGGTTTACATCCAAGCAACGACAAAGAAAAAAGAGTCCCATGTCTTTCTTGATTGGTAAACCCAACCAGCGATTTACAACAAACAAGTCTTTCCTCTTGTTGGGGGGAGCAGTTAAAAAATGAACCAAAGCAAATGAAATTAGAATGGCTATTCCTCACGATTGCTCCTTGTGATGCAGCGGAACCATGGCAATTAGGATTTCAAGACGCAGCAACACCTATGATGCAAGGAATAATAGACTTACATCACGATATCTTTTTCTTCCTCATTCTTATTTTGGTTTTCGTATCACGGATCTTGGTTCGCGCTTTATAGCATTTCCACTATCAAAAAAATCCAATCCCGCAAAGGATTGTTCATGGAACTACTATCGAGATTCTTCGGACCATATTTCCTAGTATCATCCCGATGTTCATTGCTATACCATCATTTGCTCTGTTATACTCAATGGACGAGGTAGTAGTAGATCTAGCCATGACTATCAAAGCTATTGGACATCAATGGTATCGGACTTATGAGTATTCAGACTATAACAGTTCCGATGAACAGTCACTCACTTTTGACAGTTATACGATTCCAGAAGATGATCTAGAATTGGGTCAATCACGTTTATTAGAAGTGGACAATAGAGTGGTTGTACCAGCCAAAACTCATCTACGTATTATTGTAACACCTGCTGATGTACCTCATAGTTGGGTTGTACCTTCCTTAGGTGTCAAATGTGATGATGTACCTGGTCGTTTAAATCAGATATCTATTTCGGTATAACGAGAAGGGGTTTACTATGGTCAGTGCAGTGAGATTTGTGGAACTAATCATGCCTTTACGCCTATCGTCGTAGAAGCTGTTCCTAGTAAAGATTATGGTTCTCGGGTATCCAATCAATTAATCCCACAAACAGGGGAAGCTTAAGCGGAAATGAAAGAGTAGGGTGAGGGATAAGCGGGGAAGCCACTAAATGGAAGGCTTCGCTCGCTCTAACGCTCGTTTAGTAGACAGCGAGTGGAGTGCATAAGCCCCTTTAGAGATAGGGGCGAGTACTACACGAGCTCGTAAGTCAAGTACGGAACGAGCGAAGGAGAGCGACCTCATCTTGCTTCTGGCGAAGCTTCTAGAAGGCCCACCACTTCATAGGAGCGCTAGCGAAGCCGTATAAAGGCAAACAGCTCGTATAGCTCGCAATAGCGAGCCTACTTATCGCTTTTTTTTGTTTACTTTACCGCGCAAGGAAAGTCAAGAATATCATCAGTAAGAGTGGTTGCTATTGACTTCTCGAGTATGCAAGGCCTTTTTTTCGTCTTTTTTGGCCTGTTGGTACTTGTCGAATTGAAACTAGAGAATCAGAAGATTCGCCAACATTACCTATTTTTTAAGTGGATTCGGGGCCGGTGTAAGTACGTGATTTCAAATAGCATGTTAAAAGCATATGATCCTCCTTTGACTGTTTAAGTACCATCTCCGCCTTTGCTATCTATGCTTCCTGGTCGCTAGACTCATTCTTCTTCTTCTACTTTACTTCCAGCTACTCTGCTCTGAGCTTAAGAAAGGTTAAAAAGGTTGCCGGTATGTTATTTTTGTAGTTTTGAATTCCAGAACTGGTCAATTCCCCTTCCCCTTTCGGGAACTATCTTCTCTAGGGATTCCTATTCTATTTCTATTTACTCTTCGCCGTCTACAAAACTTAAAGTTTTGGTAACTAACTTACAGATTGTATCTTAAATAAAATAAACATCCTTTAAGCGGAATGGGGGGCAGACGACGAAGCAACATCGATAACAATGAAATCTGAGTCTGTGGTGGCAGACCCTTTCCAGGCCCCTACAATCAAGCAACCTCACCAATGTGAATGAAAGAAAGGGCACCACATACATCTCGACTAGTTCGTGCCTGCGGAGCGAACAAAAACCTCTTTTTAATTATGATTCCGACTCCGAAGTCCGGATATTTGGTTGCTTTGTACTCGACCCATGTGATGTGGTTCGGCTTGTTGCGCCACCTCACTTAACCAAACATATCCGATAATAAGAAGTTATACCAGATCTACAGCACTTGCTGCTTCATGCCCGGTTGCATCTGACTCTGCTGGTTCACCTTCTAAACAGGTCTCCGCACCTGAGACACATCCTTCTCCTGTTGCTTATTCTTTTTCCTATATTGTGGTGGCTTATTCAGCGAGCTGGAGCTCCTACTATTCCCGCGCCAGCTTCCACTCTAGCTCCCTTCGGCCTCGAAGATCATCAGGTTCCATCCAACTAACTCTAGTTTCTATGTTAATTGGTTTTGTACTTCTGCATGTTGGGAATAAAAATAGAATAAGATTTTCTACTTTACTTTTTAAGTGATCAACTAGGTTTTTAATCCCTCGCTTACACTATATTGGGCTAGGTTAAGTTGGAGGTCGTACATTTCACCAGACTGTGGGACAGACACGTCCAAAAATCCGTTCTCCCCCCTTCTGGTTATAATAGACCCAGAACCCCTGCATACCTTTTTTCTACCATAAGGCCTCCCTGGCTTCTTATTTAGGTTCTATCTTTTGTAGATTCTGGTCTGGAAAGTACCCTTGCCCTGCCTGATGCTGTAGCAGCTTATACGGATGCGTTGTATCCTTACTTGTAGCCGGCTCTGTTACTCCTGGGATTTTATCAAAATAGATATAGTGGAGGACAGGTTTGAGTACGAGGAGTTCCATACAATAAAAGGATTTCTCTATAATAAGAGTGATCCATGGCCTTGAGCCTAGAGTCATAGAAGAATTCCTTGATGCTTCCCATAGGGATAGGAAAGAGTCAAGTGGCCGGTTAAGCAGCTAGTCCTAATCTAGGCACATACGCCGGTTAGAGCAGTGCCTTTTCAAAGCTTAGCTTCTTAGATTCTCTTACTAATAGAAAACAATCTTTCTTTCAGGAAAGTCTTCTGCGCTCTATTAGGCTGTGGGGCCCAGATCTTCTTGAATAAACTAAAGTTGCCCCTTGGAATGAAGCCTCTTAGGCTGTCTACCTTTGATTCAAGAGTCTCACCTTGGCGATCTACTGAGAAGGTCGTATCCATGGTCTCGACTCGCTCATACCCGGCCCACCTCTCTGAGGGGGACTTCCTTGCTATGCCACCATCCTATTAGCTTAGCTGGTAGTTAATCTATTTACTAGTCTGATGCACACTTGGAAGGCTCTCCTTTATCTTACCAGTCGTGCAGCATAATACACGCGTTTAGGTCATAATTCTTATCTCAGGCTGAGAATTGGGCTTATAATGCCTTTGTTTTATGGACCTCGGGACCTTGAATTTCCAACTTCGGCCTATCATCTTATGTTTTTAGTTTAAAAAAAATAAAAGGTTCGCGCCCTAGAGTGCATCCACGTCTTAGCCTTAACGGATGAGGCCTGCTATGACAAGGGATAGATAGGCACTACCTCTAACAAGGTAGTCCTATGGCGATATAATGCCTTCTGGATACGACTCAAGAATAAACCATTATCTATCTTCCTAGTCCCTTTGTCTGAGCACAGGTGACTCTCTTAGTGTTAGTACTTGTTCAGTTAAGATGTACATAGTCTTTAGGGTACGGTCATTACGCAGCAATATATCTTCCCCACTGGGCGCGTATGGTAAGATGAGATACATCCTCCGGGCCTAAGTCGATCCTGACTTTCTTCGATCTGGATTCAGAGGCTTCATCTAAGTAGAGTGAAAGATGATCCTGCCCTCCTCTTACTCTTTGTTACAGCTATTTCCTCGTCTGGGAAGCAATCCTTTTGCTTTTTATTTTAATTATCTTTAATTTAACCAAGTTAAATGTTAGCAATATATATTAGTATACATTTTTATGTTTCGATGCAAAGTAGTTTTTTTGGTTGGTTAATTGGTCACTTCCTGAAACGGCTTGGATTGGCATTCTATTAGCTCTAGTTATCCTTTCGGTAAACTACACTCTAGTACTAGACTTTGTGCGTATTACACTCGTTCGGTAGCTATTCACACCCCTAAACAAACTCTAACTCAGGGAAGAAGAACAAGTCTTAAAAAACTACATATGCGATAACCCGCTTAACTTCTACCTTCTCCAACTCTGCTTGTTCCCTAGTGGTCGCTACAGCCGAGGATAGCTAGAACTAATGAACTAAGTTAACTCATCAGAATAACCGCCCCTCCTAGCCCGATAGCGCTTTAGGAAAGTCTTATGAAAGATAGAGTCCACTTCTAGGTCTTTGATCTCACCCAATCCTGTATGCTACGCTAGTTTGAAGAGTCTTCTTCCCTTTCTTTAACTTTAAGAACTCATAACTAATAAATTACTAAGAATATAAACAACTGTTCCAACTCACGAACTCAAGAAAGAAGTGAGAGCATCCTTATGTTTCCAGTCCCCCTAGTCATATCGGAATGGAAGACTATGGGTCACGAAGAAAAAGAGTGTCTTTATTTTTATCGTGTTATAGCCCAATTCAAATAAGAAATTAATATGAGTCTAATAGAATCTATTTCAAGCAGCTAAAAAGGAAAGACTTTTTTTTTATTACCTCAGCCAATGGTTTAGCTGGGGAGCTTCTCTGCTGACGTACCTCCTTCCTCCTGTTCGACGATTAACTCTTCCAGGCCTTGCTTGCCTCGTGCGAGAAAAGAGGGAAAGTGCTAACATGCTAACACCGGTAACGGGTGTTGCCGCATCTGAGACCGGAAAAGCTGCTATTTGTCCAATTCTGCCTTCTCTCTTTCCTGTATACTTATTGTACTATTGATCATGTCCGCTCTCTTCCTTTGATCTCTTTTCTATGCTAGGATACCATCTAGATTATGTATGAAATTGATAGTTAGAGGAAAAGATAACTCCTAAATGCAGCCGGGATCTTATATACGATACCACCACACCAATGATAGAAGGAGCAGATACGAGTACTCAAGCAGCTAAAGCAGTGTGGTTCCAGGTGCATTTCCAGTTTTGATAGTTGTTGTCTGAGCTCTTGTCCTTCCTCTATGATTCAAGACAAAGACTATAGGCTAGAGTGGCTTTCCTATTGCAATTAGTAACTGATCTGCTCTCGTCTTTTCTCTTGAAGAGCCCTCCCTTCTCGTATTAGCCACCGACCCCGAAAGGCCCAAAGAAGGGGAGAAAGTTTTGGTCAATCTCTCGGGCAAGGAAGAGATGCGCCGGGTCTTTCTCTTTGAATGGCGGGATGCTAACTCGATTCGCCCTTGTCTCTACGGGATCAACTACTACTTATATAAAGAAAAAGCACCAAAGGTAAGTTGTTCCCAGTAGAAAGATAAAAGCTATTCTTCTTAGCAGTTAAACAAGTGAATGGAATGATTTTCCCCCGGGGGTGACTGAACTACCCGGATCCTCATCTCTTGAACTCGTTCTGGCAGCTAGTTTAATGGCACCGGCATCTCATCTAGTCTAGATCGATTCCCTAAGAGCTTCTTCTCTAGCAGGCGATTTGGCCAATTTTTTCTTTCCTGGTAATAAGGCAAGGCCTTTCCCTATCACGCTTTATTGACTAGCTTCCTTTCTTCGGCATTCATTCGTCTCAAAAGAAAGAGCTAGCGAACCTTACCAATTCAATTCCAATTATCTAAGACAGAGCAGGATAGCTGCCATCAAGCAGCCCCTTTAGAGCGAGGGCCTTCCGAGACCCATGCTATCAAGAAGAAGAGCCTTGAGCTAAATCATTGACCTTGCGCCTGCTTTGATTAGGACATTGCCGCATCTCATCTGGGGATCTAACTCTTTCTGGCTTAGCCGAACTTATCACCTGGAGTGACTGAAGGATATTATGATTCAAGCTCTGAACCAAAGCTAATTATTTTATCTTCTCTATTATTGTACCCTCACCGGCATCTCCTTACGCAGATTCAACAGCAGCTGGGTCGTGAGAGCTGAAAGACGTTCAAGATCAAAGCTACAGGTTCTGTCATACTCGATTCTATTTCTTTCTACTCTAGAGTGACTGGCTTTCCTTTCGAGCAGACTAAGAAGAAGCCCACGTAGCGGTAGCAGCTACGACTTCTTCCTTCTGGGCTTACTTGCCAAGTACAATAGCAACGGATTATGTACCAGCAAACTAGATTTAACCTGGTGTTCCCTCTCCGTTCTAGCTTTCTAAATAAGTCAGATCGGTGCCCTTTATCCGGGAAGACTCCTAAATCAGTTAACTGGGTATGAGAAGGCCTCCCCTCTAGTCTATAGTAGCCCTTCTTCCTTTCGTTTGTGCATCTTTCTCTTTATCCCTTTCTGTTTGTTGGTCAACAACCACAAGTCAATAGAATGAATTCTGAACTATAAAGGAGAAGTGAACCGTTCAGGCAAGCGAAGCGGTTTGCTTTCTCTAGAAAGACTCTGCAGGGGAATTCGCCCTTTCTTTAGTGGATTGGCTCACTACTGACTTACTATCTAGTTACTAGAAAGATTAAGGTACCGTACTGGTTGGTTTGCCCAGGACTGAGACCGACAGACTGCTTTCAACCGCTTTTCTAGGGGTGGAATGAACCTTTACTGCACTGCTAGCGTTTTAGAGCTTGAAATAACTAGCACTCATACGGATTGGACTTAAACCAACCGTGCTACTAGGCTTAAAAGAAAAGCTTGAACTCTCCCCCCCCCGAACCGCCCTATTACACCTAGGCTCATATGCTCTTCAAAAGGAAAATAGGTTTACTTTCTTTCATTTTGGTTATGGAAAGTTAAAGTAGTCAAGTTGACTCTAATCGCATACGCCGAGCTTCGATGGATTGTTGTGTTAAGTCTCTTTTGTGAGATAACAGAGACAAGGAACCACAGCCCCTTCGGGTAGGGCATAGGTGGCTACGGCGGAAAAACCCTGGATCTACAAGACTTACTTCACGCTCTCTAGAAGCTCACTGCAGAGGAAGGTAAAGTGATTCTTCCTATAAAATCAAATCAAAGAAAATAAAGATATTGTTCACCGAAAGATAGGCAATTTATTGACTTAAAGAGCGGAAGGGAATACTGAACCACGCCTCGAGTCCCAGTCTCCTAGTGGTGGGATGGTAAAGGGAAATGTCCGGTTCTGGCCAAGAGATGTCTTTGCTCCGTCCCCCTTCTTGTTGGTTGGCACAAGCCCTTGTAGTAGTCAGCCTTTCCTCCCCGACGGTCTACACCAGGTATGAACTCGATTTAAACGGGGATCAGAGCAAAAAAGGCCCTTTTCCTTTTCTACTATGCTTTGAGCCGCTTCCAGGAATGGTAAGACTTGCCTTTGCCCTTACTCTATTAATAAGGAAATTCCCTGGTGTTCACTCTAGTTCCTAACTAATTTACGCTGTAGGCATAGAGCTATGGGAATGCTTTCATAGGCTAGGGGGGATAACTCTTAATTAAGTAACTAAGCCCCAAGGCTAGCGAAGGAAAAGGAAGTTACATTAGGGCTACAACTCCTGACTCGAGGGTGAGAATTTGAATCGAATAGATTGAATCAGAAATGCACTGAGAGAGAGGCAGAATAACCGGAAGCCGGAAGAAGGGCTTTAGTTAGGCAGCGAATCTTCATTGAAGTGATGTTAGCTAGGTCCTTTCCTCGAGCCAGTCTTGAAGCAGGCAGGAAGTCTTTTACCAGGATACCCGCTTGAAAATGACGTAGAGAGAGTGTTCGAGAACGTCTCTGTGCGGTTTATCGGTTCCAAGTAGCGATGAAAGTAAAACCACTAGCACAGCGTGCAAACGTTGTTGCCATGTTTGATAGTTTGGCAAACTAGCTCCTGAGACCATAGAAGGGAGTCTTTGGTTGTGAACGTGATCGGGACCAGGCTAGTTGGCTCAGCAACATAGTTGTTTGGTAACAGGCAAGCACAAGGTAGTGGGGGGGATTAGAAAGCTCCTCTTATCTTTGAGATCATACGGGCGGACACTTGGTGCTGGTATAAAAAGGGCATATTCGAGTGCCCCGCCGCCAGCATCGCTCTTCTCTTCGAACAGAAGAAACTCTGTAGGGAGGAGAGCCTGCCGATCGAGCGAAGGGATCCATACGGCTTTCAGGGGGAGCTGCTTTTACAGCCTACTGGTATTTAAGTAACGGACGTGTTGAATGAATTTTCATGATGATTCATTCAATTCGTTCGCCGGGAAGTGCAAGCTTTGCGAACCAAAAAAGCCTGCCGATGAAACTCGTTCCCTCGTGCTTCCATTAATGACAGATACATCAGTAGAGGTCGGCCAAGCATGATCAAGGCAGGTGAGCCCTTCCCGCTAACCAAAGGCAGAAATTGAGAGATACTTGGACCCGAAAGGACTGGACCCGTGGAAACAAAGTGATAATTCCCGCTCCGACCCGGGTAGAAAACACCTGAGTTAACACTATGCAACCGAACTTAGAATGGGCCATAACACCCCAGTATACACGACACTTTATGGTAAAGAACATGGTCTTACGACACTACAAATCCAAACTCTTCTTAGAGTGCCCGGCTCTTTATATTACGAGTATTGATGCAGGTCTATTCGTATATTATATAGAGTGGATATCATATATGATATCCTGTTGGTAGGGCAAAGTATCAACGGACATACCAAACATGTTTATTTACCTGGGTAGTAAAAAATCTATTATATTATGTTAATACAGAATATATCTCTTAGGACTTTACATATATCGAATTCTCTATTGAAGCCGTCTTGTTCTATATTGTATGATAGGTCGTGTAGTTATAGATTGTATGATAGTTCGTGTTGTTTGACATTTATTTATGGGGCGTCTAGAGGGTATTCACGCTATAATCGTGTTTTTAGTAAGATATTGAGCTCTATTAGTGATAAATATATAAAGAAATTTTATTTTAAAATTAAGATTGAATTATCTAAGGCGGCACGAAAAGTCATTTATTCCAAACCTTTTAAGATCTGCTGTTACAATATCGTCGCGGTATTTTTGAACCTTGTTTGGTATCCGGACAATGTGTCCTCGATTCTCTTATTGGTGGGGGCTTCCTCGGCCATATATTATATATTTTTCGCTATAAGTGACAAGGAAAGAATACTCACTCTTATTTATTTTATCTTTAATAACTTAACTGTATTCTTTCTTTTACAAAGGCCGGATCCATGCTGCTTCCTTGTGGGGCTCTTTCTCCTAATGTTAACTTCTTTTCATCTATTATTGTTTTTTAGTTATGATCTTATATTTGATTTCATTTTTATTGTTGTGCTCCTTTACCGAATCTTCTATCATCATCAAATTGCTTTATGGGGATTTTCTCTGGTGACCGAGTTGATGTTTATAAGGCTCTTCTTCGAATTATGTCTTAAAAAAGAAGTTAGATCTGAAGAAGGATCTAGAATCGAACCTTTATTCTATTTGATACCATTCTTTGGAATCTCTTTTATTAATCTTATTTATTTAGACTACGGTCTAATGAACATACTCATTCACATATTATTCCTTTTCGCGGACGCGGCTCTTATCTTTTTTACATTTTTTGCCAATAGAAAACAAGAACTAATAATTTCATTTATATTGTATAATCTAGGCAATTTAGCGATTGGTTATTACCTTTCAATATCACTCATGACGTTTTTTAAAATAAGTGCCGTTTTCCTGGTAACCAATGGAATGTTCGCTAGCGTCTATTTTATGAAAGCCCGAAGGTTAAATAAGCCCTTGTTCGAAATACTCGTCGCGAATAATCGAGAGGGCATCCAATCCCTCCTCTTAGTGTATATTCTTATATTAGAAGTCCTGCTGACCCAATTAAATCCGGGGTCCGCAGCTAATGGTATGTATTCGAACTGGATTGTGTGGCTCGGGATTAAAATCGGGTTCCTGACCGCACTCAACTTTTTATTAAAAAAATGAGTTTAGTCGGACCAGGACCTATTAGTTTTGCTCAATTACGATCCATACTCAAACATGTTCGTTCGACGCCTCAACTCCCCTCTGCCACACATCTCTTTCCTTCGCTCTAGACCCACCCCCTAAATAGACCTTCTGCCCTTTCCTTTCCTTGTATGGCTTGTCTTTCTATTGGACTGATAAAGCTCGCTCTAATCTCAATTTTTAATAAAGACTCACATACTCCATTCTAAAGAATTATAAGTCGAGTGACTTCGTACCTCTCCTGACCGATAAAAATAAGTTCCAGAGGCATCCTCTATTCATATCGATTTGGGTTTTTCTGCACCATATTTAGATCTGCCTCTTCTTCGATCCGGAATTCCCAACAAATCCTTGACTCCTCGAATACAATGGGATTTAACACCTGGCAAATCTTTAACTCTACCTCCTCTTATTAAGACCGTAGAATGTTCCTGCGAATTATGACCTTCGCCCGGAATGTGAGCAAATATATCATGTCGATTGCTCAATCGTACTTTGGCTATCTTACGTGGAGCTGAATTTGGTTTTTTCGGTGTTCTCGTTGAAACACGCGGGCGTACTCCTTGCTTCTGGGGACATTGATCCGAAGCTCGAGTACGGTCCGTGCGCCGTTTTTCTTCTCTACCATGACGAATCAATTGATTTAATGTAGGCATCGCTCTTTCCTTTGTCCTTCCTCCCTATTTTAGCCCTATACCTAGTGATTACTCCCGATCCGAAGCACCCCTTTTCCATTCATAGAGAGATCCAATCGTCAAAATCAATAAAAAGGCCATCATAGACCAAGATCCAAACGGATCAATCTTGTTGGGAGGTACTGCCCGAGGAAAGGAAAAGGTTACTTCCGGATCAGGAATAATAAATAAAATGGAAACAAGATAAAATCGTATATCGAAACGACTTCTGGCATCACCGAAAGGATCGAAACCACATTCGTAGGCCGACAATTTTTCTGGATAGGTCGAACTATTGGAAGCAAAGGGAAAAGGAAGACCGAGTAAGATCAAAGAAACTAGCAGACTGATCACTAAATAGATACAAATAGGTGCAAATTCTGACATTACCACAAACCACTTGGTTCTTTCGCTCCATTCTCGCGGAGCGGCATACCGGAAAAAAATAAAAAAGATCCGGGCCTGGTCTGGTCGACCCAATCATGATATTTCGACACATTGGGGCTATGGGACTCGAACCCAATTCTTCCACGACCCCCATTTCCTTCTCTTATGAGATTTTATTTTTAAGATCACATCACCTTTCATACCAAAAAGAAAGCTCCTCATATACGATAGCACCAATGATAGAAGTAGAGAATGCTATCCTTCTTCTTTATTTCATCTGCAGAGCCTAATCCCTTTATCCCCTCTCCCTTAGGTTAGGGTGCATTCCTGGTGAGTAAGCCGAGTGCTTCTTGCTTGAAAGGAATAATAGCTTGCTTCCTTTGTGACTGAAAACTCTTTATAAGTCCAATTAGGCCTGAGCCCTTGTGGTAAATTAGCCAGCCCGCTTCCACCAGTTCAGACTTCCTAAGGAAGTGTAAGCCATACTTTCTTGGCGCTGTCAGCCACCGCTTTATTTAAGAAAAAACTAAACTAGAGCTGGAAAGCAGAGGAAAACTGATCGTTGCTGAGCTTGCCGTTAAAGAGTCAGATGCTGATTATATAGCTGCTCCGATTCCTTCCCTTCTCTCGATCGGCGTATCCGCTTCCAGAGGTTATGCTTTATCCAATCCAGTTTGTGAGTCTATTCCCTTTCCTTTAGTTGCTTATCCTTTAGGGAAGCTTTTCACTCCAGAGATGTGGAACTCTTTGACAGCTGGAACTTGAGACTCAGCTTAGTGTATTACGTGATGAGGCCTCTATTTAAGCATCAAAACAAGAGTTACAGGAGGGATAAGAAAGCTGTCCTGCTTACTGCTTCGAACCCATTGCTACATAAGGGCCATCAACCCACTCCCGACTAGGAGTGATGCTCTCTTCCGGACTACACTACTAGGTCTAAGTGGTAGGTCGACAGGTTACGTGTGCAGTTGACTTTGCAGCTTTAGTGCGGCGCTTGGTTTTGTGTGCTTTGCAGCAGTTTACCATTCTGCTGTACCGGATGCCCGAAGTGTGGACTCTTTATCTAAGTTAGCTTAAGGCCTATTCTAATAAGTTTTCTAATAAGTTCTAAATTTTCTTCGTCGCCAAAGCCTCAATACCTACTCTTGAATGGAATTCTATCCCATAGCTCTTATTCCAAGAACTGCTGATTTCCCTTAGCAGCTGATTCAATAGCCAGCCCCCTTGCTTGGTTCTGGTCAGTCCCGCTACCGAGCTTTCACTTTCAAATCAATCAACCCCGTGCTTTAGATCATCTAATTGGGAATCTGGATCTTCCCCATAAATTGGGATCGGCCACTCATCTTGAGTATCTCACTTGCTTGTTCAGGCCATAAGAGTTCAGAGTCTAATCGCAGAGAACTCATACCGTCCCTTGAGCCTATAGATAGAAGGTAGGCCTAGACTTTAAGGTGAATACGTCTTTCTGTGATCTTACGGTAGCGAGTTTCGGTAAGTTTAGTAAGTTAAGTGACGAGCGAAGGTGTACAAAGTCTATGACTCACACGCTTAGGCGGGTTATGGGACTTTGTGATTCTTTCGGACAAGATTGCCTAGATTGATCAGATTCTCTTCCTATCTATTCATAAGACAAGATCCATCAAGGAATCCAGCGGCAGGGTACTTTATTCCGATATCTCCCCCCGAGGGTGAGGTAGACTTCCATATCCTTAAGGAGAAAATAAGATCTCTTGCTTTGCCCACAAGCCCTACTAGCTTAGCAAGTCTGGTCGCAGGTGTGTTGTTCGTTCTAGCGATAGGCTCCAAGCGCGATTCTGATTCTAAATTAGGTTTTATGTTCTGCAATGAATCTGTTCTAAAGAAAGACCTGCCTATAAGAGGGGCTGGTTCACGGTAATGAATGGTGGTATCGGTCGGGGTAAGCACTCGTTCCCGCAGCCCTTGTTGCAGCTGATAGACTCAAAAGTAAGGGCACGAAAAGTTGTCTTAAACAAAAAACCTTCTCGCGGGAAGCCCCCACAAAAAAAAGGGGGACAAGATTCATCGATTAGGTGGCAGCAAGGTTTGTGACTCTTTGATCTATCGGAATTGCTATCCATCAGAGAGAGAGAAAGGAATTTGTCTGGAGGACGGCTAAGGTTGTTGTCAAGAAGGTTATGCCTGCCAGTCTCTCTCTTCTAAGGCCTCTATGCCTGTTCTCAAATCCGCTCTTATCTTATCCGCTGCTTGAGAATAGGCTTTGAGGAAGGGTACCACATATCCCTCTTAGTAAACCCTAAGATAAGGACAGAGAAGAGGTAATCCTAATAGTCAACTATTAGCGTCCCCGCTATCAGTCCAGTACCATTAGTTCTCCAAAGGTCAAAGGCTAGCCTTCTAAGAACCTTTCACTCTTGCCTGTTGATTGATATTCCTATCCTTCATTACCGGGGAGAACGAAACTTATTAGCATGGAACATATGCCATGATCCTTAAGCCTCCAAGCCTCATTCAAACGAAGGATCCTAACTCAAAGATCAGATCATCTTGTGGAACTGCCGATTGCTTCTTTTTTTTCTTAAGAAGAGCTCAGTCATTTAGGATCAACAACACGTTATGAGGCCAGGCCGCACTTAACTAAGCCCACCAATTAGATGTTCAGTTTAAAGCCTAACTACCACAATAATGCAAGGCGAGAGAGAAGCCGGATGCGTAACATAGAAGGACTTATTTATTGGTCTATCTAATAGCCGTAAAGTCGCTACTAATACTAAGACAGGGATGACAGGATTAGTCTTGAAGTCTTTATCTCTCTAAAAAGGGCTCTCTAAATCCCTAGAGATTGTTAACTTCTCTATATGAAAAAAAATCCTAAAGAAAGATCTAATACCAATTTTGGAAAAAATTAGTGGATCGACTAAGGAAGGCTATGAAGCTATCGATTCAATGAAAGAAAGAATAGTGGTGCTCAAACAGCACAGTACAATCACGGAGTTGTAACTACAATGGCTGCCCATGTACTGGTATCCTTTATGCGTTTTTCTCAATAGGTAGAAGCATAGCGCTGTCCAAATTGATAGCAAAAGATCAAACTTCAAGCTAGGCGTAGGCCGAGCATTCCTTCTTTACTTTAGAGTTTCCTTTTTTCATGCCTTAGCAGAAGAGAGGAGGCTGTCAGAGCCTACTGATCTGTTAGCGGATAAAAGAGCAGATTCGATTCTACGCTCGGAACCTTGGTCCAGCAATATACTAAAGCGCTTGGATCGGAGATCGCATGACCAGATCCTATTCCATACCAAGCTTGGAAAGCTGTGCTTCGGTGCGGCTTTGTATACAGGGAGGAAGCCTTGAACTGTGCAAACGCAGAACAACCTCCAAACCGGATAAGATCTCAAGAGCTTACTACTCCATCCTAGGGCATGTTTACTTTTTCGGTTACAAAGACTCGTGTTAGTCAAAGCTACTAGAAAGCTTGAGCCTCAAAAGAAAGCATGACCTTCGTAAAGGTCCAGTATAACTCGTATTCGTGATTTACTAACTTCGGCGCCCTAGCTAAGGAGACACGACCTCGGACTTGAACAAAGGGGAATCAGACTCTCTAAAAATGATAAGATTATCTTCTATGAGAAATTACTTACAGCGATCCTGCATCTCCGCCTAGTTACTTCGCTCCGCCCCTTGATGACAAAGTAAACATAGCCGAAAGGCCCTTTTTTTCCTATCGCTTTGCTAGACTCCTCTACACCTATCTTATGAAATCCGTGCCGTTAAATTTCCTTTTTCCCTCCCTCCTGTCTCACCGCAACCTGTCGCCTAAAACAGGAGAATCGAAGGAAAGCAAGTTTAGGCTTCAAGTCAACTACATCTCAAAGCCTCGAAGGTTATAAGAAAGCAAGCTAGGCCCCTCATTCAATTTAGCTACTCAAGTCTTCTATCCACTACGTCCCTCAACCTAGCGTATGAAAGACAAAGAGCCTTAACAGTTTACTACCAAAGCCCCCTCTAAAAATAAAAATGCGGCACCCCATTCCCGAGCCCAATGGTTAATAGAAAGGGCTTGCTTGAGTGTATGAACGCCTAGAAAGCTATGGCTTGGTCCCCTATTGAGGATTAAAAAATCTTTCTATCTCGGCCATAACTAACTGGTAATCAGTAATCAGGAGTTTCAGGAAACATCTTGGATTACCTACCCATTACACCAAACTGCAAATAATCAAGTGTCCTGAAATGCATGTCAGGCTAAAAATAAAAATAAGAAGAAGTCAGAGTACCTACCATCAATCTCCGTAGCTAGATCGGAGATGCAAGAACATAGATTGGAATAGACAGATTGAGATGTGCTCCTTCGTAGCGAGATTCCCATAGATGTGACTTTCCCCTTACGTAGTAGAATGGAAGTGACGAAGCATCTATTGAACTACCATTTATGGAAGAGTAGCAACAAGATTGGAAGCTCTTTCCCTTGGGTGTGCATTCATATGGCAGTCAAAAGTAGCCTGATTTACAGCCTTTTTGACTCCATAGGAAGCGAGAGAAGCAATAGAAAAGGAATCCAAGTCAATAGAAGTAGTAGGCCCATGCCAAATGAGTAGGCTGATAGCCTGGGAATCTAAGTCACTAGACAAGATGGAATCGTTGCCTGGCTTTGACTCTTCCTAAGGCAGTTCGTGAAGCAATTAGCGGAAAGGACAGACTGGCTTGATGCCTTTGCAGATGTCTATGACTCTGGAATCAGTCTCGAATCCGATTTCCGACGAAAAGGCTTATGGCCCGAAACTGGCATCTTAATTGGATTCATTTTCATTTCCCAGTGGCTGGGCACCTGCCCATGCTCATCTTTTGGGCATTCTCTTTCCCCTATCATCCTTTGACCCACTCAAACTTCATAATGTAGAAAAAAAAAAAGAAACACTATGTGATAATGGTATCAACTATGATTCTCACTATAGCTCTGACGGAGTCAGTTTCTCAACACGGGATCTCTATACCATTATGAAACAAAGAGAAAGCATTATCTATCAGGTCAAGGGACTTCTTTCCATTGGGCTTCTATTGAATGTAATCAGGCTCATCTCTCCGGTTCGTCCTTGCCGGTTGGTTATAGTTCAGATTCAGTGACCACAGAGTCAGTCTTCGGTTCCATATCAGTGTCTACAGAAAAGGGCAACCGGCTCACATCCTTGCCCGGGACAGTCCTAATTGAAACATAAGAGTGTGTTTGACTTGAGTTTGTTCTTCACTCTCTTCCCATCATTATGGAAGAGTAGTTGCTTTGCTGTATAGCTAAGATTTCTACCCTTCCATTGGGAGTTCTTCCTTCAATTCTTCGTATGTTTTCTCCCTAGCCCTAGCAGCCTTTACGGGGTGCTTTCCGGTTGGGTGAGCTACCCTTTTTCAATGATATATGGATCAAGGCCTCGCTGAGCCAGATCAGCACGAGCTACTAAAGTAAAGATAAATAAGCTAAAAGCCTCCGGGCGTGGGAAGAGGTTGGGAAACCGGCCAGGCAAAAGGCTATCCTGAATCAGATACCATTCTGAGGGGAGGGGAGAGACCCGTAACCAAACAAAGAGGCCTAACTGCAAAGCAAACCAGAAAGAAAGATGTCATCTTTGCTCTTGACATCGAGAAAGAGCTTCGTTGTTTGATCTGTCCACTGGGACATCTACAAATTTAATCATCAAAGAAGAAGAACAGGCATTGTCCGCAACCCTTGTTGAAAGAGGAACTGCCTTTACTCGTCAAAGCCAGCATCCCAGATGCCTTCATGACCTATAGACTTGTTATTCTGCTTCTGTGGAATCTCTGTCTTGTTAACCCCTAAGGGGAAGATCACCACTCTATTAGTGGGACTTCTACCGGTTTCTTGGATAGAGTGAGTCCTCTGATTCTCTATATCGATCTACTGGGAAAGCATCGATCTAGCCTCCCACTCATTCTGCTAAAAGGATGTCATAGAACGGAGAAGTGGAATCAAATGATCCATCTTCATTTTCCCATAGGACACATTGAAAGAATGCTTCCTTGTCCTTGTTGCTCGGGGAAGAGAAAGTATCCATGCCGGACATCGTTCTTTCTCGGATTCTCTTTCTCGGCCCATCAAGAACTCGGCATCAAAGACTCATTTCTCTAGGCTTATGGATTTGCTTTCCAGCCTGTGGTGAAGACCCATTCCTTTGTTCGTTATATTCTATTGGTTCTTGCCCTAGCCTACTCTGATTTTCCAGACGGAGCTTTTTGATTTTTATATTTCGCCCTTGCTTGTCTAACGGGAGCAAAAGGACTCCTATCTTAACTCACCGTAGTTGAAGAAGGAATGCTTGGAAGTGCTAATGGAATGGATTGCCCCAGACATATGTCGAAAGATAATCTCGATAGAATCAATAATAAAGCTCATTGGAATGAAACATGGCATCCATCTTCATCAACTTACAGTAAGCGCAGTGGAGAGAGTGGCTCTCGGGGAGCGGGCACTCATGGAACGTAGCGATCTCAAGATACCTGACTTGCTATCTCTTCAAGTCAATCACGATGATGAGGACTCACTCATCTCTATGTGCGGATCATCGTCTGATCCATGCCCTTGGGTTGTTCAAGTAATTACAGATGGATGAGATAGCTACCTTGATTGATTGCTGGGAATAGAGAACCAATCTATCTCTCTTATCTCTCCCGGGGGTAATTAGAAGAAGGAAGCATTGATGAGTTCACTGCGTGTTGGTAGCGAGGATAGAGAGAACAAGAATGAGCAGCCTTCCATGAATAGAACACCAAGGAACCTTTCTGGATCTGCTTACTGCTAGCGAAGAGGAAAAGGAATGCTTGTTGATTGGACTGATGCGAGATAGCTAGATAGAGAATGAAAAAGCCTTAGATGAACTACCAAATAGAGGTCTTTCCCCGGATTGAACTCACAGAGATGGCTAACAAAGGGTGTTGATGTTAATATAATTAGAATGGAATGGAGTCCTACTTTCTTTCCCTCGGCACCAAGCTACGAAGCCAATTGATCTATCTTGGGATGCTTTCCCGTAGATGAAGAATAGGATGGATCGGTCTATGCCCACTCACTCATTCTTTTTTGTTTGAAATGAGCCTGCGGCATGCCTTCTACGCGCTATACCCACTTGATTGAATGGCTTTGCCCTCTTCCTTGGCTTCAATCTCTGTTCCAGTAGAAGAATAATAGGGCGCTTAGCCGGGAAAGAGCTTCTATCGCTAATGGTCACCGATCTAGGGCATCCTAACCTAGGGAATATAGGTTCCTAGGACATAAAGGAAATGAGGACTTGTTCTGTTCGTCTATCGAGCATCTCCGTCTCTAGCTCTGGGTTCTCAGTTCGCTAACTAGTGTCAAAGAAAGGGTTTAGCACTTCCATTGGTCCATAGAATACCGAATCACTGACAGTCAACAAGACAGACCGATTTCACTCCTTCGATGGAGATTCATCACACTCTATGCACTAGCCCTTTTGTCAATTCATTAACGGACAGAAGCAGACATCATTCAATAAGAATGTGTGTATGAGTTACGCCCTTCCGAGAAGAAAGCAGAAAGCTAGTCTTTGAATCGCTTAGGATATGCATTGGTTGTTCTTCCCTCAATAGACAGATACGATAAAGAAAGATCTCACTGCTGGGAGGTGGAGATGGATAACACCCCAAAACAACTAAAGGCTGACCAGGTCGAAGAGGGAAGTAACTCGTAGGATAGGAGTCTCCCTTTCCCTATATATAGCCGGTGAGTGAATAAACAACCACAGGAGATCAGCCTTTCTTTACTCTTTCCAGCTGAAAGAGAATCTAGCTAGGTTCGTAGTGTCAAAGACAGGAGGTTCACAACACTTTACCTTGTTGTTCAACAATCTTGATACCCATCAAAAGCAGTCCGTTTCCTTGAATGACCTTAGGAGGGGCTCATATGCTTTCAAAACGAGATCTTCTGTTGTATGTAGAGATTCACATAGATAATGTGTCGTTGCCTGTAGCCTGTAGAAGGAGTGGGAGGATGGTCTTTCTTTGAGTTCGATAAGCAGTAGCAGTGCGTGAGACAAAGGAACGAGGTCACAAAGCCAAAGCATTTTCACATTTGATGTCATTGCCACTCTCATCAATCAAATGATTCAAATAATATTGTATATAATATAGAAGGGTGTATGGGGATGAGCAGAAAGACAGAACACCCATACATCATCTTCATCCCATGCTTGGCCCATCTAGGGGGCAGCATCAGAGGGAAGGAAGAACGGGTGTAGCACCTTTCCCTTGGAAGGGCTCCTGTCATCCGGCAATGCAAGACCCACTCCAGATCGATGCCTCTTGGTCAGACCATTTCCGTATACTGAGATTGACGACATAGCGAGAACACCGAGATCATTCCGTAAGAGGTTATTGTAGTGCTTATTGAATTGTCAACAATCCTCTCTTCACATCTGCTAGAAAGAATTATTAGGGCTTTGGTCAGAATGTCTGTAAAGCATGGCATTAAGTAAGAAATTCCTTCTCTAATCAAGTATGTAGTACCTTTAAGTTGAGACTCTTCCCAACCAACCGTAAGAACTCATACGAGTTGTAGTCGGACGTTAATCAGTAAACGGTGTGATGTTAGCAATTGAATGTGTATCAGCTGTGATCTTTTCTTCTGTGATTGAATCAGTAAGCGCTGCAGATGTGATTCAATATAAGACACTATGTGAAGGAAAGAAGCCAAGTCCAGTAGCTTTTTAATTAAAAAAGGAGATGGGAACTTATTAGAGTGTGGCCAAGCCAAGACTCGAGTGGCCAAGTGGATGCAAAGACTATAAAGCCACGGAGTATCCCCCTGGTTCTAGAGTAGGTAGACTAAGAAGAAGTTACGGAAGAAGAAGAGAAAGGGTAGCTGGTTCACGAAATGAAACTGACAATCTCAACTTCCTTACTGACGATATAATAAAGTAATACACCAGCTCCAGGCTTTAAAGAAGAAAGACCAGGCTTCAAGGGCTTTAGCTTTGAGGAAAGAAAGATCCCAAGCTTATGGTGAATTTAGAGTGGATGTGCCTTGGTCTTCTGTGAGTTCCAGAGATTTAGATAAAGGTAGTTCAGTTCTACGAGGCTAATTCCATTCAGTCTTGCTGTGAAATAAGCTCTTGCCAACCTCTGCGGAATATAGTCAGTGTACCGCGAGTAAAGTAAGGCGGTCAAGCGCACTCAGAAAGATTACTTTTTGAAACGTTGAAGATTTAGGTACAATAGAGAAAAGAATTCGCTCAGGTTCACATAAATAATAAAGAAAGAAGGCTATGGGAAAGATCCCAGACCTGGCTCGCTCCAGGCAGAAAAAATTACTCCTCCCCCATACCCGGCATAAGAGAAGGGCTGATAGCGCCTATGTGTCAAAGGAGAGTTATTGCCGGGGATCCTCTTCTCCAAGATCTTAGGTCTGCTGTTGATTGTTGATACGGCTTGGCTCCTGATGCCAGGTCCGGGTAGGGATATGTGAGATAAACTGCTGCTAGTGAGGGGCATCTATTCTACTCTGATGCGAGGGAGGAATGCGTATTACGCTTTGAAGAATCCATGCCCTTCATTGCAGGATGAATCAGAGAGTAGTAGTCTATGCAAGAAGAGAAAGACGTCCCAGATACAACCACCCATTTCACTCAAAGATAGTCTCGTTTGGCCTAAGGTGAAAGACGCGGATTGCACAGAGATTAACATGATATAACCTCTGATCCGGCCTCAACACAGGAATAGCCCTGATCTGCACAACGTTATATCCCAGATCGTTCAGAATGCAAAAAATAGGCCTACGTCCTACCAAGCCCCTCGATCCACCTACCTAGTACCAGCTCCATCACAACCGCAGCCCCTTGTTATCACCATTCCAAGCGCATCATTTTTCGCACCAAAGGTTCCGAAAATCCTGACACTCAGACCCATCCCAAAACCGATGGTTATCACCTATCCACCCTCGAAGGGACCCATCACTATCAGCCTCCTGGAACCTAACACGGGAAATCATGCTGTGCCTTGGAATTACGGCATCGAGGCTACTACCGAACAAGGGGAAAAGAGCCCGAGGTAGGTGGCAGAAATTGGAGGAATGACTCGTTCTGGAAGATGTTATACTCCAGAAGAGTTGGAACTAAGAAGGAAGAAAAGAAAGGAAAAAATGGGAGATATTTAACCTGTCAAGCAGCAGAGGAAGAAATAAAGAACGGAATTATTGAGGATCATCAAGAACAGTGAATTCAGTGTGGTTTAACAACTCAATAAGATGCCAGTCTATCTTAGGTCTCCTGATAGCATCAGAAGCTCACATGAATGCCTTACTCAAAATCCTCAATGAACCCCATGTCGCCTACAATATTTCCACTATAAATCTGGTGGGACAACAAAAAGGTTATCACTTTTAGATAAATTGCTTCTTGCCTTATCAGACTTCAGTCTGAACGTCTGGAAACCTAGGTGCATCGTATATATAGTAAGATAGACAGACCCCAGGGAACTACCTTTCTTCGAAGCGCGACAGGTCTACTTTTCATATTCCCGTAGATAAAGAACGAGAGTCGGCTTCCTAAAATATGTTCTTCCTCAGTAAGAAGAGGGGGAATATAGTAGTGCCCCAATTCTTCACTTTGAACCCCTCCTTTGACTTTCCTAAGGCATATTCGGGGAGGAGCCTATTTTAATTTTAAAAATTAATTCCTGCTATAGTAACTTCAACTGCTTATGAATGTAGTTACCAGATTGCGAAGTTAAAGCGGAATTCCTTTCATTTAACTTGTGACGGTCATTCCCCTGTAGAAAAGAGGGAAAATAGAATCTTTATTTTTGCTCGCAATAAAGATAGCGTCCTGATGTCCCTTGTGTCGTTGAAAGGAGTCTAAAGCCAGATAAGATCATTCCCTAAGGGACTAGTCCTTCTATCTTACTTCTTCTACCCAATCAGCATGAAAAGGCATTGAAGGGTGCAATACTTCTATCTTTCTGCCACTTCGTCTTGTACCTGTCCTTTTGGGACAGCCTCTCTCTTCACACCTTGAACCAGGACTCAAACCTATCCCTTCTATTATGAATAAATCCTACTTAACCGCTAAAGGAACGTAGTTGCATTTCTATAAGGAGAGGGATTTAAGCTTGTTTGATAGAATAAGGGACAGGTATGTTTAATTGCAGGTTCTTTAGAGCTTGGAGTTTAGAAGCATACTTGTTAGAGTCAGGAGCGGAGATACTCGACTGATAAGGAGAGGAACGAAGTAGCGTGTTGTTGATAGAACAAGGTATGAAGTAGCTCGACATGATAAAAGGAGAGGGGTTGGCTGGCTTCCCATCGATAGGTGATACCATAATTATAGCATGCTTCCTTTCTCTGGGTATGCCTTCGGCTTCTTCCTCAGGGTCATCCCCTGAATGAAAATTATGGGACTACGGAAAGGCTAAAGTCTGATTACCTGTTATTCAAGTAGCAAGGCTTGGTCTTCTGTGAGTGAAAGAACCCGGAGCGATTGGCTGAACTTACCCTAGCTCGAGAAACTTCTATCCCCGCTTTTGTTCAATTATAAATAAATAACAAGCAAGTTTGATGGAGATTTGTAGCATCATTCAAGTAAATACAGATTGAGATCGTAGAAACATGAGCTTGTGATATAGCTACACCTAATTCTGGACCGGTTAATGCAAGAACTATAAATAAAGGACCAAGATCTCCTATGAAATATAAAAGATCATTCATACATAGCATAGTCCAAGCGAACCCACTTAAAATCTTTACTAAACTATGACCGGCCATCATATTAGCAAATAAACGTATTCCTAAGCTTAATGCGCGAAAACAATAAGAGATTAGCTCAAGGAGTACTAAAAAAGGCGCTAACGGCAGTGGGACTCCTGCGGGTAATAAGAAGCTTAAAAAATGAAGCCCATTTCTTTGAAATCCCACTATAGTAATGCCAATAAAAATAGAAAATGAGAGACCCAAAGTAATGATAAAATGACTTGTAACTGTGAAGCTATAAGGTATCATACCCTGAAGATTACAAAATAACAAAAAAGTAAAAGTGACAAAGATGCAAGGGAAAAACTGTTGTTTCAGATTTCCGGAAAGACCACCTATTTGTTCGTTTACCAGGTTCGGCACGAAATCATAAATAAGCTCTACCAAGGATTGCCAAGCATTGGGTACTGACTTTCCTCCTCCCTTTTTAGTAACAAAATGAACCAGCAGTAAGACCAAACTGAGAGTGAGCAGCATAAACAAAGAGGGATTTGTGAATGAGAAATACAACTCACCTATCTTCATAGGAAGAAAAGGGATTATCTCAAATTGTTCAAGAGGGCTGGGTATAGGAACCACCCCCGACTCTAAGTATAAGTATAAGTATAAGTTGTCGTTGTATAAGTATAAGTCTAACTGTAAGTACAAGTTCATGGCGAGTTAAGTTAAAAATTTTCTTTACTTTAAGCAATGAGAAAAGACTTGTCGAAAAGGAAATAGCCGGTTGGTTGATCCAGAAATGCAAGGGAGAAAGATGCACAAACGAAAAAGGGAAGAATTTATCGGGAGCAATATAAACTACCCGCTCTAATAGAATTCCATAAACACAACGCGAAGATACTTTACTGAATGACTTGATCGATCGTACTGTACTAGAAAGACCATAATCCTTTAATACGCTATTTTTGATCCAATCTCGCACTTGGTCTGATCCTCTTTCTTGATGTTCCCTCACAGACCCTTTATGTAACCTGATCTTATTACGACGTATCTTTCTTGTCTTGATTGAATACATCATTGATTGAAACAATCATGCAAGAGGTCTGCTACGTCAATTGCGTGCGTAACGAGTTAGAACGGCACCATGTGAGATTATCATCCCGACTCGTTCGATTAATGGTGTTGTTGTCAGCCCTGTTCCTAGAGATTCGGGATGGAGGGACGCAAGATAGAGCAATAGGTTTTCGCCCTTTTTATTTGAATAGGCAACTTTTACACACGGGAACTTACGAATAATGATTCCCTTTGACATGAACTTGCTTATAAGAGACTCTCTTCGATGCAACTCAAAGGAAGTAGCTCCAGGAGTCCAGAGAGCAAGTAGCCAACGGTCGGAAGATGTTCTAGACTAGCGTGACCGGAACCTCTGAGGATAGAAAGCCCGCTGCTTACCATATTATGCTAGCAACTTCACACCGACAGAGAGCAAAGATAAGGCGGAATGGAGACCATAGGTCTCCGCGCCGACTCAAAAAGAAAGGTTCTTACTCCGAGAAGACTTACCAAAAAGAGCCAAAGCGTTCAGGTCAGCAACTCGACCTTCGCCTACTTCGGAAGGATCCAATGAAAGTTGGCCCAATTGCTTGAACATAGAACCTTTGTATCCGAGAGTAGACCTGTCATTCAAGAGCAAATTACTTGACTATCAGCCCAAGGATCAGGGCAACCTCTTGGATATCTCGCTTCTTGGCCGCTCTTTACACTGTCCCACCATTTGGTGGTGTGCAGAGAAGATATATCCGGGGAAGCGCTTTGATAAGTATGCTATCCTTGGCGACGATATTTGTATCGCCGACTCAAAGGTCGCAGAAGTCTACCTATCTACACTTAAGGATTTAGGTGTGACTATATAACTTCCTAAGTCTTTAGTCTCAGATGTGGGTGGCGCTGAGTTTGCTAAGAAGTTTAGGTGTAAGAATTTAACAGTGGATTTATCCCCTCTCTTCGAAACCTGGCTAATTCCCATACAATACATGCATGGACTGTATTCCCTTTGTCATCTCTATAAGATACAGAGGTTTTCCACTCTATGTCGATTGTATGGTATTGGTTATAGGCTTCTTGGTAAACTTAACCACACTAAGTCGTCTACAGTCTTACGGCTGAAGGCGATTTGGTTAAAGGCTAAGCTACCTTTCGAGTTGTGGCTTGGCCAGTGCTGTCCTGTCGACCCTTATTTAAAAGGTCGATTGATCTGGAAGCTTCAACAAGCTTTCAGACCTAAGGATCTTGTGGTGCCTCCAACGAGTACTTATAAGTCTGAGACTTTTTAGTACTTAGAGGATATGACACTTCTCAGATCTTGGACTGAAGCCTGGCTCAAGTACGTCAGGTGGTATTACGCTACTGCTTTATCCCCATATGTTTCCATCGAGGATTTTTTCCAAGCTCCTGTTATTACAACTCGCTCTTTCCAGCGAGTAAAGAGTTTCCACTTCTGACCCGTTTCGGTCTGGTCAGTCCCAAGGTGATCTTGTTGGGTCTGTTTCTGATCAAGCTGGACTTTCTTTGTTGGAAGGGAGTGAGAACCTCTTTGATGCTGAGGTTGCGGCTCATCGAGAACTGTTGCGGGGAGACCATAGCTGAGGCTGGGCTTGATCCTAAACCTCTAACTATCCTAGGTTCTAGGTTAGGTGGAAGTGAAAAGACTATGGGAGATGCAGATTACAGCATTGCAGATTCAGAGGAGATAAAAGTATAAGCCTTCTTTTTAGTCGTTGATGATTATGTATGCAGGGAGAATCCAAGACCAGTAGAAGTAGACCCTGCCGTCGTGGTTGATCCGGTTCACTGAGGAGCAGGAAACCCTGAATAGGGAATTTATTAAGAGAATCAAGATGTGGCAAAGAAGGAAATCCCCTTTTGAATGCCATCGATATAGATGAGACTACGGTGCCCAAAACCTTAGGCTTAGGACATGACTTATTCCCATAGCTATAGCTTGCTTTCTATAGATGAGCCCTTCGTTCAATGTTCCTTTGGAAGGAAGGATAAAGCGGCACATACCAACCTGCGATACAATCGAGCTTCCATTGATGGATCAAATCCAGCTATAAGTGATCGAGTACTTCCTTCCATAAAATTATAGTTGAGTCAGCCCTAGGAGAACAGCGCTTTGAGTCCCTTCTCTCGAGTACTGGTTTGAATAGACAGACCAGCCAAGATTTTTGTTCCAAGTGTTACAGTAACACTCTTGCCCCCCTGTTACCATAAGCTCAATCCGAACTTTGCCCTTACTGACAAGATTAACCATCTGACTCTTGTACCAATCGGGGACCACAAAGTCACTACTCCACTTTTCCACACCTCGGAATTCTACTCAAAAGTTCCATTAAGTTATCACAACCGCACCAACCGTGTACAGTGCACGCAAGAGTGTCTGCCTACTCTGCAACGAGACCTCAAAGGTGCCAGCTGCATCGTAACACAAGTCCTCCCACCAGGCCTCAATTCATTCGACGGTCTGAACTCTTGACTTGACAGCACTACTACCATCCATTGCTTGATGAGGAGTGAGGAGGGCGGTGTGAAGGGATTGCTAACGAAAAGGCTTTGAAGCCTGAAGAAGAAAGCATTTATTGGGGCTGAGCAGGCTGAACTGTGAATCATATGACTGAATAAGGGCATATGGGATGGCTTTGCCTATAGTACAATCAAGTCGCTATCTTCTACGACTGTAGATGTAGGTAGATATCGGGCCTTCTTCGTTCCCCGAATCTGTTAGTCAGTGAATAGTCCCACCAGTATGTAGAAGAGTTCGTCCCAGTAGTAGTCCACAAGCTTTATTGGTCACCGGACACAGTGAGAACTGCTCAGCTTGCCCTAGCACACACACTAAGTAGATAGTAGGCACAGGTCCGCTAGGAGCTCATCGAACTGAACTTGTAGAGTGAGACCTGTGCTCGATATGGTTTATTTAACTGCTCTTTCTCTCGGTATGCTTCACCACATGCCTGTGATCTCTTTCTCTTTCAAGCTAGGCGGTATCTATAGGAAGTGATCGAAGCATCGGTGAAATGCCATACTTAACACATGCGATTTGCGGATTGCACCTTTGATATCCGCTAAGAACTTCCCGATCAAATAGATCTCCCCTGGCTGGCAATCTCACCGGTGAAGTTATAGCTCTCTAACAAGCGATGAGGGACGAGGTTGCCCGGGTCAACGGATCGAAGGCAGTATTTAACGTTCCCACCTGCAACTACGAACTAGGCTAGCTGACCTAGCAGTGAAAGACGAGAGAGCTGACCAAGAATATTTGTCCTAGATTCATCCCTAGCGGCTTCAAAGCCATTAAGATCGTTACTTATGGGAATGAATAGTCTTTATAGCGCTCTTGAAAGCGCAACTCCAAGAAAAGAAGAGGGGCTTCCCTCAGTCCATGAAGGTGCTTTCTTTATTGATTGGTAGTTTGATGCTAGCTGTTATGCTAAGCTAAGCAATGTCGCTTATAGCAGTTGGACAAGGAAAGGCAAGAGCGAGCAGCCACACATGAACCGCGATAAACGATGTCATGATAGGCTTTCCATAACCATCTTTCCGTAATCAAATCCTTCTTTCAGTCTCCCAATAAACGAAAAAGGATTGCTGCGAAAGCTGTGCTCGATTTCCTGCGCTAAGAAAGCGGAGTGCCCTATTTACCAAGAGGCTGCAGGCCAACTCGGAAAAGAAGGAGTTGCTATCGAATTTGAATAGGCTTAAGAAAAGGCTGTCACAGAGAAGGAGCAAAGTAAAGGGAGGAAGGAAATGGGCAAATAGGTTAAATCCGTAACTGAAAGCAGGAAAGTCAGAAAGAAAGACATAAAGCAAGGGAATCTGGTAATCCTACTACTACTAAGACTACTCCGTCTTAGGGCTAGGAGTTAAGGCACGGCGTAACGGGGCGTAACAGCTGGTGCTCTAATCTGAGCTAAGAGATAGGAACTGCACTTCGACTTGATTTATTCTACTTCTCCCTCTCTAACCCAAGTCCTAGAAGTGAATGAGGTTTTTTTCCTGGAATAAATTTTGAGTGTGAATTTTCACTAGTGCTGTGCTTACTCTTTAGTGGTAGAGTTTGCCAGAAAAGCAAAGCCTTAGAGTTCTAACGGGGTTGCTCTATAATCAGCTCCTTAAGAATAGAGACTTCTTTGTGAAAATGTCCTTATAAAAGCAAAGGCTAAAGCCCATACCATACTGAAATGTGTGAATTCTAACTGTCTTGCTTCTGAAAAGCTTTACTTCTTGGGTACGAAACTTTTGTTTCAGCTATCATTCGATCTCGAAAGAGTGCCTTTTGGCTTTATCCTTGTTGGGTCTGGGCTAATTCTTGAAAGCAGCAGCAGCTACTCCTACCACTACTTTAACAGAAAAACTATCGATTCTCATCCTCAAGCCAACTCGTTTTCTTTACATCAGGGTGGGTCAAGAGCGGCGGGATCGGGATAGGCATTAGGGGATTTTAGAGTGCCCTTACATCTAGTTTCTCCACTATGTTGTCGAGCTACTTCGTTCCTATCTTGTAATACTATTAAACTCCTGTAGCAAGAAGGAGAGAGGAAGGGAAGTTGGTCACCTGCAGAAGTAAACAAAAGACTGGTATTGTAGCTGAAAGAGTTTCGAATCAGTGTTCAAAACTGATTGAGGGCTCCCGAAGAGGCTAGTTGACTCACTATAGCTATAGTCTCAATCTGGTAACCAACCAAAGCGCATGCATAACTATGGCTGCCATTTATGCAAGCATTCTCATTCACAAGCCCAAAAAGCAAGAGCAGTCTCTTCATAGCACCCAGCACCCGGCAGTCCCTTACCTATAGCCTTCCTTGGACCATAGGGGGTTACCCTCTAGAAGCAGTTTCCTTCCGCCCTGCCTTAGCAAGAATAGCATTATTAGCCTCTCTAGTAGTTCTAATGCCAAGACCTCCATCTCTCTTCCTTAAAGGAACTTTGTCCCAACCCACCAGGTGCATCCCTTTTTTAGTAGGATTCAGTAGACCATAAAAAGTTTATATTGATTTTGTCCAGCAGGGTACAAGTATGAGCAGGCAGTAAAGTAGTTTGCATAACATAGTAAGGAAGGGCAGTAGTAACAGCCTGAATAAGAGTAGCTCTCCCAGCGGGGTTAAGGCATTTTTCCTTCCATCCTTGCAACCTCTTTTTAACTCTTTAAATGATGTAGTTGAAGGTACTCTTGCTAACTTTTGAGTGGAACAAAGGGATACCTATAGACTTTCCTCGGTTATCAGTGATGTGGATGCCACTCTCTTCTTGAATTTATCTCACCAAGGATCTAGGAGTCTTTGGGCCAACAAAGATTTTATACTTTTGAAGATTAACTTTATGGCCAGCTTGTTCACATCACATAAAAAGTTTTCAATAAGAATCTTAACTTATTGGAGCTGCTTCTGAAACAAGATAAGAAAAGGAAAGAGTTAGAGTCTACAACTACAACCTCCCGCTTGAATTGGAATCTTAGCCCTTGGAATCAAAAGACAAAGAAAGAAGTCTTGGAGTGAGAGGTTCCTCTGTAGCCAGTTCCAATTCATCTTAGTCGATCGAGGGGTTCATCTTTCGAAGTGATAGTTCTGGGCGTCTTGGTATTGGATCCGCTTTTCTCTCGTGCTCTTCTGGGCGGTACAAATAAATTAGGAATGAGCGCACCGAAAGACAAGACAACATAGAAAACTCATCCGCTTGTCAATTAATTCTTGGTGTAATACTAACTTCTAACTTTTTAGTCTATGAGCTTTCCTCCCCCCCATTTTTGTTGCGTGAACGAAATCCCCGGTCATTCACTATCAAAACCACCGACCATCCATCCCTTCTGTCTAAAAGAAGGTGAGAGCTTATGACGGCTTGGAGCACCCGCTGATAGGGAACACTTTGTCGGGTGCCACGTTCCGTTATCTGATTGACGTACGACCGATAGGTACGCTCCGTCATAAGCTCCCCCCGCGGAGAGTGGAGATGGTGCTTCTCCGTTCGAAAGTAAGAACAACTTCCATCTGACCGCTTTCACGCTTCCTGAATCCTGCCGGTGAATCTAATATGAATAGTTCGCCAGGGGGGATTTGATCTTCAGGTAAGGTGCGTATTGTATCGGATAAAAGGCTGCGAATAGGCCTCCTCTCTTTCCAGCGCTCTCCTCTACCCCTAACATTTTGTTCCCTTCCCTCTTCGCTAACCTCTATTCCGTTGAATGCTATTCAGTCTGGGATCGAGCCCAACTATTATAATTATAGTTATAGCTTTCTTCCAACAGCAGATTCATTCGCAAGAACCGATGCCATACTGCTTCAGTGGAATTCTCCGTAACCTTACTCACTATCTTGACTAACTTAACTGTCTTCTTTTAATGAATGCCCTAGGCAGGCCTTCTTCACTAGCGCAACCCTCCCTAACAGCCTATGAATGTGCAGTGGAATCCCGTTCGTATTCTTCCTAAAATATGTAACTTTTCCTTTATCTGATTGCAACCTATTGATCGGATTTACTGTGCGCGGATATCTTCACTAATGATTCCACCTCTTACTCCTTCCCCGGCACACAAAAAGAGTGCTAAAGTCGGAAATAACTCTCTGTCCAAAGTATGGAGCTTTTTTAGCTCTAAAGGTGTGAAGCGATAAAACTTATCCCAATAGGAATGTGAAGGAGAGAATAATATTTTTTATTATATAATAACATAACTAAGATCTAGGAGAGAAAAAAAGTCTTACAGATTTTTAGATAGACTTTTTCGTGTCATATTTGAAAGTCTGAAATGAATGGAAAAAAGCATGGTAAAACTACCATAAGAGGGCCCTTCATGGCAGTTGGTAGTCGGCAACCAGTCTTCTTCTCATCATGTATACTCATATAATCAAAGCATTATCATCATATCATCATATAAAACAGAATCATCATATTAACAACATATCATTATCATACTTCATTACCACAGAACATCATAGCGATTCAACACGGGGAAACTAATTCTATCCTAATTTGGGTACTATAATTGTCCTTCTTATTCTTAATTTTACTCCTTATAAATATATTTCATCGTGTTAGCTATCCAACGCTTCGAAAGACACCTCAAACGGAGTCTGGAAACTCAAGTTACATCCATAAGAAAAATCTGTCAAAAATTGGATTGCTTGAGTCGATGCATGCCCCCTTTGAGTCGACGCATAGGTATTCTTTCTTCCCTGGGTGTACTCAGGTCGACCCAATGAGTTGACACATACTAAGTCTTGAACCTGCATGAGTCGATGCATGACCTCTTTGAGTCGACGCATGCTGTTTTATGCTGAATTTTTCTGTAATTTTTCTGCAATTTCACTACCTTATAGATCCTAAAACATCATCTAATCATAGGGAGTCATCATATATCAACAACTTAATATACTACATCAATAAGATAACATTTAAGCATCATTATTCATCATTAATCTATCAATTCACCATCAAACAACATCAAATCACCATCAATGAAACCTAAGGCAAACCCTACCTCTATTTACCACTTAAATCAAATATAATAATCAGATAAACACCCCTTACTTTATTTCTTTGAGTGATTGATTATGTTCTTCGTGCCTCTTACAATGATTCTCTCCAAAGCCTTCATGCCCTAGCCTCTCTTCTCCAACTTTCACGATTGATTCTGAGAATAACAACTATCTCTTCTCTGTTATCATAAAGGACCCCTAATATCATCCTCAATTTCCCTTGCTTAGTCAACCTCTATTCACCATCACGTCCTCACTCTTCCTACTAATTATAACCACACCACTCTAATTAAAATAGCCCTTTAAATAATTATTCCTATTATTATATTCTCAATAATAATCCAAATAATTACTAAATAATTATTTAACCATTCTAATACTTCTAATCATCATAATTCACATCATGCACAACCTCATACTAGCACATCACACATATAATCATATAAAACATCAATTATTAATAAATACTCCTAATAATTCATTAAATAAATAACTTCTAAAAATTGGGGTGTTACAACTCTCCCCCACTTAAAGACTTTTCTCCCTCGAAAATCACCTGAGGAAATTAGAGTCGGGTACGACTCCTTCATCTGATCCTCACGCTCCCAAGTCAAACTTTCACCGGCTGATCCACCCCACAACACCTTTACTAAGGAAATATCCTTACCTCACAATTTCTTCATTTCACGACCTTCTATTCTCAATGGTAATGCTTTAACAGTTAGGTTATCTCTCACATTTACATCATCCATCTGAATTACATGTGAGGGATCCAGAATGTACTTTCTCAACTTAGATACATGAAACACATCATGAAGATACGCAAGTGATGGAGGTAAAGTAATCTGATAGGCTACCTCACCTATATTCTTAGATATCTGATATGGACCAATGAAATGCGGCGTAAGGTTCCTTGATTTCAGAGCCCTACCAACACCCGTTAGCGGAGTAACTCTCAAAAACACATGATCATCTTTCTGAAATTCCAAGGCCTTCATTCTCTTATCATGATAGATTTTCTAATGACTCTTAGAAGCCTTCATCCTCTCTTGGATCATCTTAATCTTCTTAGTTTTTTCTCGCACAATCTCGGGTCCGAGTACAACACTCTCGTCCGACTCATACCAACACAATGGAGTTCTACACCTCCTACCATACAATGCTCCGTACACTTCCATTCCAATACTTGAATGGAAACTATTATTGTATATAAATTCAATCAATGGCAAGTGACTATCCCAAGATCCTCCTTGTTCTAGCACACAAGCCCTCAACAAATCCTCCAAAGAATGGATAATCCTCTCTGTTTTACCGTCCGTCTACGGATGATATGTGGAACTCAACTTCAACTTGGTACCGAAAGCATTCTGCAAACCTGTCCAGAATTTTGATGTAAACCTCGGGTCTCTATCTGACACGATACTCGAAGGTATCCCATGAAACTTTACAATCTCATCAACATACATCTTATCTAGCTTTTCTATAGGATGATTGATCTTCATCGGCAAGAAATGAGCCGACTTAGTCAATCTATCCACTATGCAAATTGAATCATCACCTCTAACAGTCTTCGGTAACCCCGACACAAAATCCATAGAAACACTGTCCCATTTCCACTCTGGAATACTCAAAGGTTGCATAAGACTTGTAAGCTTATGATGTTCAATCTTCAACTTCTGGCAAGCCAAGCAAGCATACACAAACTTAGCAATTTCTTTCTTCATACCTGGCCACCAAAACATTTTCTTTAAATCCTGATACATTTCCGTAGCACCTAGATGAATACTTAAATAGCTTAGATGCCCTTCCTCAAGAATGCTCTTCTTAAGTTCTGGAATATCAGGAACACATACTTTATCACCAAGTCTCACCACACCATTCTCATCCACTCAGAATTCACCTATGTTTCCTTAATTAATTAATGTTAGTCGATCCACCAAAATCAAATCAGACTTCTGACCTTCTAGGATCTCTTCAAGAATCCCACTAGTCAGTTTCAACATTCCAATCTTCACACTATTGGATGTCTCTTCGCATACCAAGCTCATATCTCTAAACTATTCTATCATCTCTAACTCTCGAACCATAAGCATTGACATATGCAAAGACTTCCTACTCAAAGCATCAGCTACTACATTTGCTTTACCAGGATGGTAACTCAAATAAAAATCATAATACTTCAAAAATTCGAGCCATCTTCTCTTCCTCATGTTTAACTCCTTCTGATCAAATAAGTATTTTAAACTCTTATGATCATTGAACACTTCAAATTTAGAGCCAAAAAGATAATGTCTCCAAATTCTTAGCACGAACACCACATCCGCCAATTCTAAGTCATGCGTAGGATAGTTCCTCTCATGAACTTTGAGTTGTCTAGGAGCACAAGCAACAACTTATCCATTCAGCATTAGCACACCACTAAGTCCCATCTTAGATGCATTCATAATACATTACAAATGAGTCACTCGGATTTGTAAAAACCAATACCGGAGCATTCGTCAATCTTTTCTTTAGTTCTACAAAACTTTCATCAAATGCAACATCCCATACTTAAAATGATGAACGACTATCCTTTTGATAGAACATCAATCACTTTACACACCATCAAGCTAATAAGACAAGTCTATCCCATCCAACATGATCCTGCCTACTATCAACAAGAGATTAAGCATGATCAGTTCCTCAATTTGTCAATAGGTAGCCGACAATCATGATGGCACATAAACCATCATTACTAAACTGGAATAGTGTTTCTTTAGAAATTATGCTCAAAGTTACCTAAATCACCATGGTCCAATTAATCTCTCCTCAAACCATGATCTACACCTTGACAACTTAGCATAAAGTCTCTTCCTTTCCAACATTGTAATTCAAATCACAACGTTCGACATTCCCTTAATCTTACTTAGATTAACTCGTAATGTCCTCAATAAACACCACAACAAACTAACCCAAAGATTTGTAATTCCTACACAAGTTCTAAAAATTTTCCCTTAACTATCCTCACCCTTCATCCAAATCTGAAGGTAACCCTCCTTAATTCGATTATATTGTAGACATACTCGCCTAACAGTTTCTCCATCAAATCATCAATCCTTTTGAAGTGGATATTTAATCTCAATAATTACCTTACTCAATGGTCGGTAATCCATAAACGGCCTCATTCAATTGTTGTCACAAACATGAAAACCTCTAAGCCTAATATCCCAAGGGTTATCCTAATTTCTTAGCAGATACAAACACCAGTTCTCTACTGTCACAGAACTTAGATCCACACTCTGGAGGCAAGTCACAAATATCTTTAGGAAAACATCAGGAATCAAACAACACTGGCATATCACTAGCCGTCACATTGCTCTCTATTCTTCGAGAAGTAAACATCAAAAATACCTAATTGTTCTTTCTGAAGACATCCCAACTTGACCTGCAGACAAAATCATGAATTTGTACTCTCTTCAGTTTCAAGAAATAACATAGCTCCAATAATACTTGCGCTCTTTGTAACTCACCAGTGTATTGCACCAACTCCCATACCTGAAAAATCTCAGAGAAGCAAAAGCTTCTCACCCACTTGTTTCAAACAAACCCTTGCAGATAAATAGTTAGAAAAACAAGCAAGTACCAACAGCGTTTCACACACATGTCACACACTAAGGAACAAACAACATTAGATAATATGTCCAGACAAACCGACTGTGATGCGGTGGGAGAACTGACTTGAGGTTTTGCGTTTATGTTCGCAAATGTTGCGGTTAGCAAGAGTCGCCACCGACTTTTCTTTTATCCAAAAGGAAAGGTAAAAAAGCACAGGAAAGACCTTTGAGATGTTTTCTTGAGTTTGGGGGGTAGATTATGAAAAGGGAAGGTGCTAGCACCCTTTTCGTCCATGGTTTTCCATGGGCTCTTAGTTACTTGTTTAGATCACTTGATTTGCTTTGCTTTGTTTGAAATGGTGCTAGGTGTGCTTTTGAAAGTATTTTGAAAAGAGGCCATCGTTTAGGCAATCTTTATAATGATTCTCATTCGTAAGAATGTATACAAAGATGTTTGTATTTTGAAAATGTATACAAAGAAATGTGTGTGTGTTTCTTTTTGAAAATAGCAAGGATTGTTTTAAAATGGAACAAGTAACTAGAAGCTATCTACCTACTCAAATGTCTTTCTTGTGCATTTTTATTCCTTTGACATTGTTGATTTACCATTGATTTGGTAAGCAACCCTATCTTTGGATGTAAACGGGACGGGCGTGGGTCATCGTATGGCCATGATAACAATGTTGCCAAGTATCTTAGTATTTTTGAGGGACCAAGATCATCT